TATTTATTTTTCGCTTTTGTTTGGTATAATTATTGTATTAAATGTCTTTTATCGACATTAATTTAATAAAATTATATTTTATTTTTTGGTTTAATATGATATTATATAATAGATAAAAAATAAATATTTATTAAGATAAAGAATTTTCTATGGATAACGCCAGCAAAGCAGTATTTCGGTTTCAAATCGGTTATCGATCAAATCACGATATTTTTTAAATATTTTTTGGGATAATGATTTTCACGTATTTATAGATAAATAAACCAAAAATGATTATTTTCCAAATAATATTAACACCAAATTTGGTCGATCGAATATTTAGTAAGTGGTCGGTTTTGAGCTCGCCATTCGGTCAAATCATAATATTTTCAAAAAACTAATTAGGATAATGCTTAACACGTTATTGTTCACGTATAAACCAAAAATGAAGAATTTTCTATGCATAACGCCAGCAAGACAGTATTTCGGTTTCAAATCGGTTATCGGTCAAATCACGATATTTTTAAAATATTTTTTGGGATAATGATTAGCACGTATTTATAGATAAATAAACCAAAAATGATTATTTTTCAAATAATATTAACACCAAATTTGGTCGATCGAATATTTAGTAATTGGTCGGTTTTAAGCTCGGCATTCGGTCAAATCATAATATTTTCAAAAAATTAATTAGGATAATGCTTAACACGTTATTGTTCACGTATAAACCAAAAATGAAGAATTTTCTAAGTATAACGCCAGCAAGACAGTATTTCGGTTTCAAATCGGTTATCGGTCAAATCACGATATTTAAAAGATTTTTTGGAATAATGATTTTCACGTATTTATAGATAAATAAACCAAAAATGATTATTTTCCAAATAATATTAACACCAAATTTGGTCGATCGAATATTTAGTAATTGGTCGGCTTTAACCTCGGCATTCGGTCAAATCATAATATTTTCAAAAAATTAATTAGGATAATGCCTAACACGTTATTGTTCATAAATTAACCAAAAATGAACATTTTCTAAATAATATTACTACCAAATTTGGTAGATCAAATATTTAGTAAGTGGTCGATTTTAAGCTCGGCATTCGGTCAAATCATAATATTTTCAAAAAATTTATTAAGATAATGCTTAACACGTTATTGTTCACGTATAACCCAAAGATAAAGAATTTTCCATGTATAACGCCAGCAAGGCAGTATTTAGTCATTGGGCGGGTTTCAAATCGGTTTTCTGTCAAATCACAATATTTTTAAAATATTTTTTGGGATAATGATTTGCACGTATTAGATAAATAAACCAAAAATGATTATTTTCCAAATAATATTAACACCAAATTTGGTCCATCGAATATTTAGTAATTGGTCGGTTTTAAGCCCGGCATTCAGTCAAATCATAATATTTTCAAAATATTTTTTAGGATAATGTTTAACACCTAAATATACACGTATAAACCAAAAATGAAGAGATTTTGATCTATAACGCCAGCAATATGTTCCTTACAAACTTTCTACTATTTTTCTTTTCTAAACCTACTCATTAATTAAATCTCAAAGAAACCTCTATTTTTTAAATTTTTTTTAGGTTTTTCACATGTATTTATGCCCAAATACAAAAAAGCGCTATCCAATATTTATTCTGGTTTCCTAAGAATATATTTTAATATTTATGTATTTAACGCCCTCTTATGGATATAAATTTTTTAAATTTTGTAATTGAAAAATAAAATATAAGTTGTAATAAGCTAGTAAATATATTTATTTTTCAATAATATTAAGTAAAAATACAATTTTAAATCATTGTAAAATAAAAAAAATGTTTTTGAAAAATTTTTTTTTAAAAGATATTATATCATCAAATTATGATTGATTATGATTAATTGCTTTTTAGCAAGACAGTTTAGCAAGGTAGTATTTAGTCATACCGTTTAAAAATATTTTTAGGAATAGGTATGATAATAAAATTTAAAAATAAATATACAGTTGATTAGTCATTTTGAACTCGGCTAATTACAATATTAAATTTGTTAATTTTCAAACAATATATGATTATATTTATTTAATTATGGTTATATAATAATTTAAATAATAAAAGTCAATTAAACTTCAATTGTTAAAGCTAAATTAATATTTAGTGAGTTTGTGATATTATATTTTTAATACAGAATTTGATTGCAAGCTGACATAATGGAAATATAATTTATATGTATTAATCTAATCTAATAATTAAAATAATATTCAATAATAAAAATCACGTACGGTACTGTTAGAGTAGAAAAGTAAAAAGTCTTAATTTCTAAATAATATAATTAATTCTATATATTACTTAAAGGAATTATAAATCATTCAGGGGGCAATCAAAAAAATTTATTTTTAGTTCAAGGGGATATTAAGGAGTCATTAAAAAAATATTTTTGCTTCAGGGGGCTATTCAAATTTTTCAGGGGGCTCGAGCCCCTGTGCCCTCCCCCTAGTCACGCCACTGTTAAAGAATCAATTTATATTACATTTAAATTGTTAATATGGGTTTGCAACTCTTAAAGAATCAATTTAAATTACATTTAAATTGTTAATATGAGTTTGCAGCAATGACATTATTACTATAGACTGCCAATCGTAATGCTAAAATCAAATTTGAAGTGGCAAAAATTGAATTGAGTAGCGGCCATTTTGTGTTTGGATCTTTTAAGAAAGAAACGTATGATAATTTCATTTCAGGTTTTTTATTATATATTATATTTAGAATCTTATTTTTTTACTAGATGAATAAAAAAACATTTTTAGAGCAAGTAATTTATAGTTATACTGTTTTGATTATTGCCTAATGAAAATTTTTAAGATTTATTTAGAGTAATCAAGTTAACTCTTTATAGTATTAAGATTATAATTAAATATTTACTGGTCTTTACAGAGAAAGTAAAGGTAATGTTTAATACATAATGAATATTATTAAGAATAATTTAGACTAAGCAAGTTAGAATATATATCTTTTTTAGTGATGAGAATATAATTAAATATTACTGCTCTTTATTAATATTTGCAGTTTAATACTTAATAAATATCTTTAATATTTTATATAGACCATATCATTGATATAGACTAATCAATATAAAATAAAATCTGTATAGTAATAAGAATATAGTTTAAAATGTCATTTCCAGAGAAGTAAGGATTTATTGTTTTCTTTAATACTTCATGAATATCATTAAGATTTTTCAAATATATTTAGAATTATCAAGTTAGAATGAATATTTTTTATAAGAATTAATTTAATATTTATACATTCAATAACAAAAATCAAAGTGAGGAAAGATATATTATGATTTGAAAACTATTATAAAATTTAATATATTTTTTATATTTTAAGAAAATGGTAATATATTGTAGTATGCAAAATGAGAGCTCGTTTAGGGCTTTTGAAAAGTACATGAAATAACAAAAAAACATGCTGTTAAAAAATTAGAATGTCTAATAATGTCAAAAATATTAGGCACAGTTCAATGACCTACAAGAACATATGTATGATCAAGAGGCAGGATTAAGTCATCATCAAATTATAATAAAACTTATTAAAAAAGGTATATATATATAATCATTACTTGATTTTAATAAAATATTATTTTCAGATACCTGCATATATGTATGCATCATTATGGCAATAAAATTTCAAAAATTGAAATTAAATATTAGACAAAAACTAAATATTTATAGGTGAAGGAAAAATTATTGCGAAAATGAAAAAAAAACTTTGTACTTTTACTTTATTAGTTATAATAAAATATTTTATTAGATATAAATATAACATGTATATTATTTGTTTTAATTATTGTAAAAATTTATAAGATTATTTTTTTTTGCGATACACATTCATTATAATATAACAATTATTTTATTAGATGTAAATATAACATATATATTATTTGTATTTATTATTGTAAAAATTTATAAGATTATTATATTTTTCGCGATATATATATATATATATTCATTATTAATTTTTGTACTTTAGTGAATTAAATTTAAATAAATTGGTAATACCATGATTATATTTAAAATAATTATTTTACCCTCTAGTTCTTAATATCAAGAGTCCATTATTTATTTTAATTTTATATTTAATTAGCTACTGATACAATTTTATTAATCAAACATTATGTTTTATCAAAAGTATTTTTATTTTCTTAATTAATAATATTCACATTAATTATAATAATATAGTCATACCTTATAAAATAAGTTTAAGCTCTTTGCTTGTAATATGCAGGTTAGCAATATAAGCAATTTTTATTCAAGTTTATTATCAATCTTATTTACTTTATGCAATATATATCTAAACTGAAGATTCCATATAAGAATATCCAATATTGTAATATTCATACTAAATTAAAATATTGGCTCTAAATTTTAAAATATCAAAACTAATTAAAATAATCCAGCCATGCAAAGCAAAGATATAAATTGGGCCAGGCATAAGTAAATAAAACTCTTAATTTCTTAAGTTTTTATAAATCTAAATGTAATTTATATGGAACCCACAAAATCGTGACAGTTGATATTCTTATATGGAATCTTCAGTATATATATGATTGCATAAAGTAAATAAGATACCTAATAAACTTGAATAAAAATTTTTGATATTGCTATGATGTAAATTTTATAAATTAAGAAAATAAAAATAAAAGCTTTTGATAAAATATAATGTTTGATTAATAAAATTGTATCCCTGAATTCATAGTGAAAAATTGTAGCGCGATTGCGATCGCGATTTAGACGCGATAAATACAAAATACAGTAAATATCATATCGCATTCATAGTTATCGATCGCGCGATTTGAATCGCAAAAGCAAATCGCCACGATTTTTTCAAAACACAAATCATTTTGTGTTTATCGCGAGATTTTGAAATAGTGCTTCGTTAAATACAGATTTTGGTGAATATAGCTTAAATTCTTTGATTTTGCGCTACTTTTAAATTTAGCGCTAATTTTTTATTAATTGAAATGAATTCAATGACAACCTTTTTTGATGATATAAAACCAAAGGATCAAGTTAAAATTATGATTATTTAAATTTAATTTTTTTTTAGAAAATAGATAAATCTTTATTTATTCTTTCAGTTAAAGAATATGCGTGCTTATATAATAAGCACCATCATTTATATAAAAATAATAATTACAAGAACAAAGTTTGGTTATTATTAGCTGAAGAGTATAAGACGACTGGTAATAATTATGCATACATATTATATTTATAAATTTTTTTAGGAACATCTCTCAAATCTCTTTGGAAAAATTTGAGAGATTGTTTTATTAAAGAGAGACAAAAGATAGTGAAATTGAAAAGTGGGTCTGCTGCAGACCATCATATCACCTGGCCTTTCTATCAGGATATGCTATTCCTGGTAGAAACCTTAACACCTAGGTCTCAAAAGTCCTCTTTAGATAAAGAGGACTCTAATTCTATAGAGGTTACTAATATTTTTAGTGAAATGATAGGAGAGATAGATGAATGTAAAATATAGCTTTTTAATTGAAAATATATTTATTATTTAGGTGATTACATTGATACTGACAATACATCAGATGTTATAGTTATTAATAAAGATTCTGTAACACCAAATCTTAATGATTCTGGTAATTAATATTCTCTAAAAACTTATATTATTTATATTTAAGAATCTATACCCTGTGTTGCATCTTGTTCGTATTATAAAAATCCTAAGAGAAAGAATAATCATATGGGTAATTTATATTTTTTAATTTTTTGATAAATTTTAAATAGATGAATACAGGGACATAATTAAATTAGAAAGAGAAAAATCATTAATGAAATTGGAATTGCTTAAAAATAAACCTATTGAATATGTATATGATGGAATATGTATTATGTTACAACAAAAATTAAATATTTCTACCATACAGGAAAAAAAAGAGATATCAAAGAAAATATTTGATATTATAAATGATTAAAGATTAAAATTATTTTGTAAATATTTTTGTATTATAAATATATATTTTGTTAATATTTATATTATTTGAAATAAAAAATTTTGTGAAATACATTGAATGATATAATTATTCCCAAAAGTCCTGCTATAATTAAACTTTTTACTGAGTTTGGTAATTAATAATGAAATATATAATATTTATAATGAATGATCTTTTTCATAGAGAAAGTTTAAGGACATTGGTTATTTTTGTTTACTTGCTTTATAAAAATATTTTAAATAGATGAATTTAGAACATCTATATAACTTTTTTAGTGACATATTCCTACAAATATATTTAATGAGTTTAGACTATAATAATAATAACTTTATTTTTATTATAATATATAAAAAATACAAAACAAGATATTTATATAAAATATAAAACAAGATTTTTATATAAAATACAAAATAAATATCTATATGGGATTTTTATATAAATATAAGCATAATAAATTTCTATTAAATTTTGCAATATTTGTTGCAGATTTAATTGATTGTGGTTTAAATAAATTTTTAGGGGGTGATTTTATTTTAGGATTAAAAGAAATAAATCTTTCCTTATCAATAATTATATTATGCAATAATGTGCATGTTTTTATTATATATTCAGTAATTGATAATTTTGTATCCATAGGACGATCAAAAATCATCCATTTAGCTCTCAAGATGCCAAATGCACATTCGACTTGTATCCTAGCACGAGATATCCGATAATTAAAAGCCTCTTGTTGAGGGGTAAGGATACCTTAAAATAATAAGGGAAACAAATTTTAACATATAACTAATAAAATTTTAAATTCCTAATAATTAAAATAATGCCCAAATAATTGCTTTAATATATTATATAAATATGATATAATTAAATTAATATATTCTTTTACTATACCTTTATAAGGCTTTAAAATATAGGACTTCAAAGGATAGGCATCATCCGTGACAAAGAAATGTGGGAAAAGGAGGCTGGAATTCGGCAATTTTTTAGAAGGAGGTAATTGTATCTCTCCATTTTCTATCATTTTGTATATTTTGGAGTTAGCAAAAACACCTCCATCAGATTCACTGCCAAAACTTCCTACATCGACTGTTATAAATTTGCCTTTGGCATCCACAATTCCTTGTTTTTACAATATATAAATAATATATTTTTACAAAAATTATATTTTTGTAATTATCAAGTTTTCATTACAATGTTTAATTAATATGGAAATATTTAATTAGCATAAATAAAAAACAAATTCACAAACCTTGTAAAACCACAGAGAAAAAGTGTTTATAATTGTAGAACCCACTGCCAGAATGAGGTGGCTTTCTAATTCTGCAGTGTTTTCCATCAATACATCCCACACAATTTGGTAAATTCCAATTCACCTCAAACTCCTTTTAAATAATAATATATATAATATACACTATATTATACCTTTGCTATCCTCTCAAAGTCAGTGAGAGTAGGTGGTGGCATATGTTTACCTACCAAAGTTTGCCATATAGCTTGGCAGGTTGTGCTAATTATTTTCTGGACTGTAGATATGCCTATTTTGAAAGAATAGGCCAAAGTAGGGTATCTACAGCCTGTTGCTAAATATCTAAATAAAAAATATATTCAAATAATAAATTGCTTTATTTTTACCTTAAACAAATCATAAGCATTTCTTCTACACTTATAGGATGTTTAATGAAATTTGTACGTTTAGTATATAATAATGGTTTTATATATTTTAGAATATAATAAAATGTCTCCTAAATTAAAATAAATTATAGATAAAATAGAATATAATTACCTTTGTCATTCTCATATAGTTAAAAAATTTTGGGTCATTTTTTAATAGTTTTGGGAAAAGAATGTAAAATTCACCTTCCTTTCTTTTATTAATATTAAGATTATTTAATCTTCTACTCTTCAACATCATTCTGTAAAAAAATAATAATTTGAGGATAGCTACCATTTTTAATGAATATAAAGTCGTATCCGCAGAAACAGTGCCTGTTTAACAATCGCTTTGCAAAATGAATGAAAATCGCTGCGATCGATCAGCTGATCGATCGCAGCGATATCGCGTCTAAATCGCGATCGCAATCGCTCTTCACTATGAATTCAGGGTCAGTAGTAAATTAAAATGATAATAAAAATAATGGACTCATGGGTAAAATAATTACTTATATTAAGAATTGGTTCTAAGAAAAATTATCATCGATGTACTCAACATGGTGTTAATGGCGTCTCCAGCTGATTTCAATTGATACATGCTTAAAATGTATTTTAATGAATGAATTGTCAGTCTAGGTCAGGGTTGCCATGTCTCCCCCCATCAGTGGGTGTCTCCCACAATTTTTTAGTTTACCCACATACATCTCACTCCCACAAAACTCCCACAATTAGAAATCTCCCACAAAAAGCTCCCACAATTTTTTAATTTCTCCCACAATTTTTTTTTTAGCATTTTAATGTTTTTAATATATAAATAATAATTTTGAGAGACACTATTTGATTATTTTTATATTTTTTAAATAAATTTTAAATATTTATTCGAACTTTTATTTTATTTTTCTGCTCTAAAATATATTTTTTATAAAATTCTCCACTCTACATTTTCAAAATTTTTGTATTAGAAAGAATAGAAGTTAGAACAGTATGTATAATTATTATAAATATATTTTAAATTACTTAATATATTTTATATCGTTATCTAGAATTGCAGTGCTCCACTCGATATTTTCAAAATTTTTGTGTTAGAAGAATAGAACTTTTAGAAGTGGATATTATTCTAATCTCTAATTCTTTTAAATAAAGTTAGTGGATGAATAATATTGATTAAATAATATTTTTCACTACTTACTTTTATACTATTCCATAAAGTATATGTCAAGCAAAAAATTATAAATTAATTGATATATTATTCAACAATAGCTCAGTTATAACAAACGACAATCTACCAAATATTATCATTTTAAAAATATGCGACCATCATGCAAAATGTATATGCACACCAAATAACGATTAATTATGATATACTTGAACGATTAGCAAAGCTAAAAATTTGATTGGTCAAAATTTGAAAAAAATGAAATCTCTTTCATAAACCTTACTTGCAAGATTCTTGGACTGTAAGCATCTATACAGCATTTATAAATGAATAAAAAACAGAAATAATACGTAATTCAGGATTCAATATCCCATATATCAAACAGATTTAAGTAATAAAATGTTCTATTTTGCTAATAATTTTATCTTACTGTAAAATTAAAATAATATATTAAGCACTAAACATTGATAAAATTTTCAGAATAAATGATTTCAAATGGCTGTTCTGGCCAAATTAATAGATATTTAATATAACTTTGCAAGAATATATTCCCAGGGCATACTTTTTAAATAATTTTTTACTTTATTTTAAATTTACAAAATTTCGATTTAAATCAATTTTTTATTTTCATAAAAAAGATATTATTTTGGACAACACGAAATATAATCACATATGGTTTTTATGATTATCATGTCATCTTATACAAACATACTTTTTTTATCACACATTTCATCATTTCATAATATTAAACGACTCCAAAATAAGTGCTAACTTTACTTGTGGTAGGACAAAAATGAGCAAGGCTATCACAAATGTGTTAGGACCTGAATCCAAGAGGTCAATTCTAGACTATTTGAAAGAAGGACATCCATATGCTATTTAAACAGATGCATCAAATAAGGGAAATATTAAAACATTTCCCCTGATCCTTCGCTATTTCAACAAGAATAAGGGCATTTCTATAAAACTATTGAATTTTTTTTCACCCGATAGAGAAAAATCCAACGATATAGCTAACCACATAATGGTAAATATAGCTGATTCAGGGTTATCAATGAGTTGCATGTCAGCTTTCTGCGCTGATAATGCCTCTGTTAATTTTGGCAAAAATCAAAGTGTATTTACCGAATTGAGGCAGCACAATAATGAATTAATACCAATTGGCTGTATATGCCATATACTGCATAATTCTTGCAAGAAGGCAATGAATGTACTATCTGTAGATGTCGAAGTAATTGTGATGAAATGTTTTAACGAATTTAGTTCATCAACTAAAAGAGTCACTGAATTAAAAGAATTGGTGGAGTGGTCTGATTTGGAATGGTGTGAGTTGTTGCGATATGTACCTATCAGGTGGTTATCATTAATACCTGCCATCGAGAGAATTTTAAAATTTTACGAACCCTTAAAGAAATACTTCTTAAATAAAGATTTTAACAGCTGTCCTAAAATTTTGAAAAATTTTTTCGAGGATGAAATGTCAGAAGCATATTTGGGATTAGTTTTACATGTAGGAAATCTACTTCATGTAGTTAATATTCAGTTGCAATCAGAAGATTCTTTATTGATAAAGATTCACAAAATCATGCTACAGCTCTGCTCTACAGTTAAAAATAGATAATAAATTTTATGGCGCTATTGCTAAAAATATTATATTAAAATGTTCAAATAATACTCTAATTAATACATTTTTAAATGAAGCAGATATTTTTATTAAGACAATTTTAGAATATTTACAATCAAAATTTGATTTTAATAACTCTATTTACAAATGTTTAAATATTATGACCTTGGAACAGAAACCATCATTTGATGGTTTTTGTAATTTAATAAATATATTAAAATTACCGATAGACATTGAAGTCTTGTTTGAAGAGATTGTAATTTTTTCCATTTTTTATGATTCGCCAGAATACTTAAAGTTAGATGGTCTAAAAGCAGAGGATAAATGGGTGGAATTTTTTCGTAATAACGATAAATCCCCATGGTTGGAAAAAATTTGCGAGTATGTTTTCTCCTTACCTCATTCTAATGCCTCATCGGAGCGCATTTTTAGCCTGATGAGGACTGCCTGGATAAAGGAGAGAAATCTAATTGCTTTAACAACATTAGAGGCCGAGTTAATGGTTAAACAAAATTATAAAATGTCATGCCAGGAATTTTATAAATATCTTAATAACGACGGTAAACGTTTAGTTCCATTATTTAAATCTCAAATAAAATATAATTAACTATAACTATTTGACTTTCTATATTTTATAAAATCTTATTTATACATTTGCATAAAATCAAATAAATTAATTTTTTACATTGTAAAATTAATATTTTGAATATTTTGGCAAATCATAAAAATAAAGAAGCATTACAATCTCCTCAAACATGACATCATATTAAATCTTATTAATAATTATCCGATAATAGTAATAATATTCTTACTTTGGTATTTCTGCAGCATAATTTAGTGACCCTTTATTAAATTATATTCTTCTGATTGCAACTGCATATTAACAGCATATAGTAGATTTCCTATATGTAAAATTCCTAAATATACTTCTGCCATTTATTTTTGAAAATTTTTTTCAAAATATTTGGACAGCTTTTATAATCTATTTATTTTTTAAAGGTTTGTAAAATTTTAAAATTCTACGATGGCGCGTATTAACCTGTCAACCAACATTATGCTGACTCAATTCTGTAAATACACTCTGGTTTTTGCCAAATTCACTGAGGAATTATCAGATCAGAAAGCTGCCATGCAATTCATTGGTAATGCCAATTGACCCTCTGGATTTATATCCTAAAACATTGATGATAGCCTTGCTCATTTGTGTTCTACAAAGTATACTTTTCACTTATATTAGTCGTTAAATATTATGGGGAAAGATTCAACCAACATTGTGATGTTAAGTAGCTCTCTTAATGTTGTACTGCATGATAGGTATTTACCATTTCCGCAACTGTAGTTGCATCTGTATTATTTCTTATTTTTGAAGAATATTTTTGTTTTGCTATAGATGTTGATAGATTGACCTGCACTGATTTATGCTTTGAAGATTTTTTATGCCTCAAAATATAATATTCCCTTCCCCCATTGTATTAACTAAATACTGTAGAACAACTTCCCCGCACTGATTATAATTATTTTTTACATTGTAAATTTAAAATTTTTTGTTTTTTTATAAAATCTTATTTATACATTAGCATAAAATATCAATTTTTTTATAAAATTTTATCTTGTTTACATTCTTTTGTATTTAAAAAAGAGCGTTGGTTATTATTTTTAAACAAAATTAATATATTATAATAAATCAATATGTTATTTTAATAATAAAGATAGTATTTAAGAAATTTTGTGTTGTACTATAATTACCTATTTTGAAAAATATTTGCTTATTTTATTTTGGAAAATGGTTACCTATTTTATTTTGAAAAAGAGTTGGATATTTTATTTTGAAAAATATTTGGCTATTTTATTTTGAAAAATAGTTGGCTATTTTATTTTGAAAAATAGTTGGCTATTTTATTTTGAAAAATAGTTGGCTATTTTATTTTGAAAAATAGTTGGCTATTTTATTTTGAAAAATAGTTGGCTATTTTGTTTTGAAAAATAGTTGGCTATTTTATTTTGAAAAATAGTTGGCTAATTTATTTTGAAAAATAGTTGGCTATTTTATTTTGAAAAATGGCTATTTTATTTTGAAAAATAATTACCTATTTTATTTTGGAAAATAGATTCGATTTTATATTTATAAAAAATAATAAGCGGATAACTAAGTCAATTCTAAATCCCGGCTGCTGGCCGGGCCTTTGCGGGCCGATATTTCTCCCACAATTTTTATATTACTCCCACAAAATACCGAATTTCTCCCACAATTTGAAAATTTTGACCTGACAACCCTGGTCTAGGTATTATTATATGTCATTGGGAATAACATAATTCAAAGCAAAAATAAAATATAAAAAGACTTATAAATTATAAATTATAACTTCTTTTTATTTGATAAAAAAATAAATATAAAAGAAATTATATCAAAATTTTTTTTATATTTAACAATAAAATCTTGTATATTCAATTTTGTTTTCGGAGTATTTTCTAAAAATAGAAAAATATGATAAATCTCATAAAAGATTCCAAATCACATGTTAAATAGTTTTATTTTTCATAGGAAATCTGGCAAATAATTTTTACAAGAAAAAATAGGCTATTAATATAAGCTGCATCTTCATATATTTTAGATTTAATTCTGATAAAAATTATAAATTATTATTTAATTTGAGATATCATACTTATGAAAGGAAATGTTTCTTCCTGAACAATATTTTTGGTTACAGCCATATGCACTACAATATATTACCATTTTCTTAAAATATATTAAATTTTATAATAAATTTAAAATCATAATATATCTTTCCTCACTTTGATTTTTGTTATTGAATATATAAATATAAAATATTAAATTAATTCTTATAAAAAAATATTCATTCCAACTTTATAAGATATATATTTGAAAAATCTTCAGATATTCATGAAGTATTAAAGAAAACAATAAATCCTTACTTCTCTGGAAATTACAAAATTTTAAACTATATTCTTAATACTATACAGATTTGATTTTATATTGATTAGTCTATATAAAATATTAAAGATATTCATTAAGTAATAAACTGCAAATGTTAATATAGAGTATAAATATTTAATTATATTCTCATTACTATAAAAGGTATAGTATATTCCAGTGACGAAGCGTCAAGTTTGCTACTAGGGAAGCAATCAAAAAAAAATTTTATTTTTATTTTAGCCAAATCAAACCATAAAAATATTAAGATTTATAAATAAATGGTATTCGTCTTTGTTTTTGAGTAAAATGAAAAAGTTATCGATAGATTTTAAATTTTTTGATAATTATTTTTCAATCAAGATAGATTCGATAATAGATTTTGGCTCATCCTGTTTCTGCAATAAGATTTAATTCTTTATAAAGATGAAAAACTCCGTTCTGCGCTTGCTGTTGTTGAAGCCAAAGTAAAGATGAATTTGCATAATTTAAGAAACTCATTAAAACTTTTCATCAAATTGGTGCATATTAAAAATTCAAGTATTTCATTAACATTCTTTTTCTTTCCAAATTCATCGTCCCGAAACACTACCTTTAATTCGGTTTCCAGCTTGTTTAAGTCCAAAAATTGAGAATAAGTGTCGTTTAAATTATCTAATAAATATTTTGGGAAATTTTAATTAAATATTTGTAATATACTATTATCTAACAATTCGATGAATTTGATATTTTTTAATGTATCGAACCGAAAATCAATTTCATTGATTATATTATCTGTTAATTTAATTATAAAATTTTTATAAAATTCTTTTGTAATGGGCAATCCGGATCTATTACGTTTTTTTATAAATTGTTTTCAATATTTTCTTTTACATTTAAGTTTCTCCAAAACACATCAAAGTTTTCTATGTTTGATTTAACTGAATCTGAAATCGTTAATACTTTTAAAACAATAAGATATATCGTTAATTTTAGTTTGAAGTCTATTAAATAACAAATCAGATTCTGGAAAAATTTCTTGAAAAAAATATAATAAAATTAGAAAATTTGCATCATTTAATATATATATATTTAAATAGCCACGAGATGTTATTAGAACATCATTATCCCAAAACAATATCAGATTCTTCATCAATCTTACTTTCAAAAAAAAACGACTAGATCCTTCAAATAATTCAGCCGACCATTGTACCCCCATCTCGTTGGGGCTACTCGTGGTAACCATTTTTGACATATTAAATTCCGATGTTCGCTTAGATGATGTACTAAAAAAAATGGCTAAACCAAATAAAGTTACAAAAAATACTTACATTCTTTAATTTTGCTGCAAGATTTTGATAATATAAGATTTAACTTATGGGCAAAGCAATGAATATAAAGTGCTGAAGGTCTCTGATTTTTGCTTGTAGTCCATGTGAATTGCCTAACATAACAGCTGCGCCATCGTAACCTTAACCTATTAATTTTTTTATCATTCAAGAATTTAATGACAAATTTTGATAAAGAATTAGCATCTCGATGCATAGTAACATCAAAGAATTCAATAAATCTTACATACAATGTCTCGTTATTTAAAAAATATCGAAGAACTACAGCCAGTTGAGATTTATTATTCATATCTGTTGTTTCATCTAATATTATTAATATAAATTCCGTTTCTTCTAATTCATTAAATATTTTTTGATGTAAGCTATATGAAATAGAATTTATTAAATCATTTTGAATATCGTTTGATAGTCCAATAAAAACTATATTATTTTCTAAATGATGTATCAATAGTAAATTTTTTTTCGCCAGCAAATAAATTAATTCAATATAATTTCCTCTATTTAGAATTAGAAGATTCATCATCACCACGGAATGTGAGTGCCTGAATTCCAAGAAAATATATAGAGTGATCAATATTTTCAATTTCTCTATTTGATTTGACTTTCGAATTATGCTGTTCAATTGATATTTTGCGCATCATCTATCATATTTTCAATACGATTTTGGACAAATGTTTTTAATTGAATTATCGACTGCAAATGAACGGTTGATTCTTCATGCCGTTTCACTGCATTTGTAAAATTATTCATATCCGAAAATCCTTTATCATTCCAAACATATTTTTCCTTTGGGAATAATAGGTATGACCAACAATATAGAGAATTAGGAAATTCACATCCAGTGAACCATTCATATTTTTCATATTTATCGATAGAAAAATTACGTATGCAAGTTTTGATTTCTTTAAATTGGTTTTAGTCTTCCTTTTTCAATAATCAATTTTTTCGCATCAAACTAAATGATAATGTTAATAAATTTTCAATAATACAATTACAATAATTAATATTAATTGAGGATTTTAAAAACGAAAAAAAATTTTATTTAAAAAATGTCAGGAAAAAAATATTATATAAAAAAATTCCTTTCGCTTTTATTTATTAAAAAAAATAAGCATTTTTTTATTATGCTTCCCCAATACTTATTTTTTAATGGTAAAATGACACAATACCATGGCATGATTTTTTCTTTTAAAAAAATAAGCAATATTAAATTTGCTTCCCTCATATATATTCTTTTTAACTTAGTAAAAATAATAGTAAATTTTTTAAAGTATTAAAAATAATAGTAAATTTTTTAACGTAGTAAAAATAATAGTATTTCTTAATATAGTAAAAATAATATTAATTGTCAGTTTAGTATATTTAGCATAGTATAAAGATTATATTCAGTTTATTTAAGAATTTTGTATGAAAAATTTCATGGGAAGCAATGCTTCCCTTGCTTCTATCTTCGTCACTAGTATATTCTAAGTTGCTTAGTATACAGGGGCGTCGCTAGCCTTTACAATCTACCCCCCAATTTGCGGGACTTCGGCCGGGTTTTATATTAATATATTATTTACTAACTCTAAATAATTCTGAATGTCATTTATTATATTTTGCATCAAAATAAACTAGCATATAAATCATTAAAATAATACAAGACATTTCTAAAAATAATATTTTTTAATACAAAATCTATTTATTACAATATAAAATTTTTTCAATTGTTGATATAAAAAAATTTTGCGCCTAAAGAATTATAAATGATAAAAAAGGTTAATTAATTCATATATATATGCCTCAATTGATAATGGTTTTTGAAAACTCATAATATAATATAATATTATCAACTTACATTGACAAAAGGTCATGAAACTAATATAACTCTCTATTACCATTTTAGACAATGTTTTATAGAATAGACTAATAAGAAAAAATTTATAGACCTTACCAAATCAACAATTATTGAAGAAGAGAATATAAATGACCAATCCAAATCATAAAACTATATGGTGGTTAGAGCTTCCTCTTAGATGACATGATGGAAGCTAGATAGGTAATCGAGAAAATTATTGTAAGATATTAAATTTATATAAGATTATCTTCCATTTTTAATGATATATAAACGACTACACAATTGACCATTATTGCTTATCTAAAATATGCGATCATATGCTCTCAGCAGCTGTAGTAATAATATTAAATTACATAGCCACACAAATAATATATGCTGGTTAATTTGCAGTCCTAGGCATGACACTCACGATGGTAACCCATATCAGAATTTATTCTGTTAGATAAATTGATAAAACAAAAACGTTAAAAACCTTTAGAAGAAATTATGCAAATATATTGAAGCCTTGAGTTATTTACACGGCAAAAATGCCATATTAGAAATGAAACATTTTGTAACTACAAAATAAGAACCAGAGTGATATCATGAAAGCTATTAAGATTTTATATATTATTGTCGCATCATCTCTAGTTGGTATATTATATCTTAAAATAATAGTTGTTTGTAATAATATTAAAAATATATTAGTATTAAAAATTTAACTCAAATCTATATCCCGAAGAAGAAAAAAATAGCTTCCTAAAAACAAGTAAAAAAGAGAAGAAAAGATATCTTGTGGGATGAATAATAATACGCTTAATTTTAATTATATTGTAAATAAATAGATAGCTTTAAATATTTGTAAGCATTTAAATATTTGTAAGCAAATTGTTACTTAAATTTATTATCAAAAGCATTTATTAGTAAAATTTTAAAAATATTAACTGTAATATATTATATAACTGTCAGATACGTCTGTAAAAGTGGCATTTTACCTAATATTTTATAAAAAATTATATATAATAGAGGATTATAAACTATATGTCAACATACTTTTTATAAATAAATCTCTTAGGCTGCATTCATAGTGGAGACGGATCCGTTTTTACATCCGTTCCGTCAAAAGTCAAACTCATTAAAAATGATATAAATGTTCATAGTGCGTCCGTTCCAATACGTTCCGTCTTCAAAACGTATCCGGCAAATTAATGAAGTCAAAAGATTTTGACTTTTTATCCGGCTTTAATATTTAAAGAACGTTCAAAAGGTCATATAATATTTAAAAATGAAAATTAATACAATAAATTTCATAGAAAGTGTAAGAGATTGTAAATATATTTATGATAAAATGGAGAATGATTATAAGGATTCAAAAAAGAAAGCCCAGAGTGATCTTGGCTTGCAGCTTGGTGAAAAATTTAATTTTTAAATAAGTGTAATTCTCATTGGGGTACGCAGAGGGATCCCCCTCTCTTAAAACCAAAAAATGCAGATGCCGGATATATTTTTCAAAAATATTATTGTTTATATTAATTTATATTTGTTAATATTTATTCGTATCTCATATTAAATATATATTTAATTACATTTATTATCACATTCATAAGTTATTTTATCAATTAATTTCGATTTCAAGTTTTCCAGCGTAATATTTACTTAATATTTTCAAATTTTTAGTGGCGTAATATTATTTATCTACCATTTTCAAATTTCTAGTCAAATAATAATTATTTCTGAAACTTCTGGTCCAACAGGGAAAAAGAAATTGCAACCTTGTCCAACGAGATAGAGTATCGGCCATCCAGCAGTAACAGCTTTTAAGGAGTTAGAAGAGCCAATTATTTGCTATTACTGAAATATCACAATGGCCTGAAAGAAATATTCCTCAGAAGCAATAAAATTATTGGATTCAATGCTTATTCCAAATTTTATTTCTCATTAGAATGTATTATTTAATTATACAATTATTTTAAGTATTACTTTTCAAAAACATGACATTGACTTGATTAAGAAGATGAGAATAGCGGAGAGCATTTGATCAGAACTCAAGGAAATTATGGCTAATGTTGATGAAGAATTTCATATTTTATATTTTATTGTTGAGTCAAAAGCAGATATACGTGTTTAATATTTGTCTCCCTCGACTTGTAGCAAGGCAAGCTCATCGTTAAAACATTAATATTGGATCAGTAGAAGAGTATATCTTAGATAGAGATACATTTATAATATAACACAAATAAATGAATTTTTAATTCATCATGCAGCACTTACTAATCTGCAAATATTACTTCCACAAAAGCCTTCCCAACATTTTTCAGATGGTGATAGAAAAAAAAATATTTGTTAGATTTTTATTATGAAGATGTTAAAGTATCTTATGATGCCTTACTAGCTGGATACTATGTTTATAAGATTAACTATGGTTGATATAGTCCCAAAAAATGCTATGGATGCTCTGCATTATTTCAAACACATTTTAGATTAAATTCCCAAGGGTTTATAAACTCTTCCCATTAGTAAACTAATGAGATAACATTCTCTTTTTTAAGAAGAATAACAGAGGCCTGCAGAAGTACCATTTGCAGGGCACAGCCCGGATTTTTTTAAAGATTTTTTACGGCCCGGCCTGGGCTTTTTTAAAAAAATTTTTAGGACCGGCTCGGCTTTTTTTGAAATATTTACAGGCCCCGGCCCGGCTTTTTTTTAAATAAAATTTTCAGGCCCGCCCGGGTTTTTTAAAAATAAATTATATTTATTTTTGATTTTTATAGCTAATAATAATGATTTCAAATATAGGCTGTTTTAAAAAATACAGCCCGGCCTGGGTGTTTTTTTAAAAATAATTCAGGCCCTGATTGGGTGTTTTTTTAAAAAAATTCAGGCCCGGCCGGGGTGTTTTTTTTTTAAAAATTCAGGCCTGGCAGTGGTGTTTTTTAAAAAAAAATTGGGCCCGGCCCGGGTATAATTAAAAAAATTAAAATACAGTCCGGCCCAGTGGCCGGGCCTGCAGATCTCTGAAAAACATACCAAGAAGTACAACATCTGAAAGTAGATTGAAAGGTTTGGATCTTTTGAATATACATAGGCATTTGACGACCAGCAAGGATGAGATAATTGAAAAATTAGCTCAATCCCAACGAAGATTGGATTTTACATTGTAAATATATAACACACAAAATACAATTATTCCTAAGAAACTTTTTGTGTAAAGGCTCAAAAAATTCAAATTTCTATTTTGGGTCATTTAAGTGATTCTTTACATATAATTTTTTTATAATTCACATTAATTTAAAATTGTGTATTAGTCCTAATAAATTTATGCTTGATATTTTTAAAAAATAATAATATTTCTTAAAAAATTTTATTATTCCCCCCCCCCCCCAGACCAAATTCCTGCGTACGCGCCTGGTAATTCTAATTTTTAATTTAAATAAGTGAGAATATTCATATAGAATTTTTCGAGTTAATTATAAAAGCATTTTATTTACAATTCCATTTGTCTCTTCATCTTCTATTTTCTAGACCTTGGTAAAAATAATTTAATTTATATTATCTCATATAGATGCTTAATATTTTTTCTAAAATTTGGTTTTTACAATGATAATCAACTTAATTTTTTAATTAAATTTAGCATTTTCATTAATTGTGCTAAAAATTTTACCTCTATTATATATTTTTAGGTGATGATCTCAAAACTAAATGGAATAATCTACGAGATTATTATAATAAAGAATACAAAAAATCATTGGAGAGTCCTAGTGGTTCTGCAGGACCACCATACAAATCCTTATGGCCTTTTTATGAAGCATTATCATTTTTAAACCGAAGTTTAACACCAAGAAATCAAATATCCAATTTATCTACAAATTCAATTCCTATATGTGACATTACATTAGATGACAATCAAGAGATAGATGAAAATATAGATATAACTTTAAATAAAAAAAGGAAAAAAAATTTTAAAGAAATCCTTTTTGAAAAAATAATTAATATTGAAGAAAATAAGAAGGAGGTATCAGCCTTCGCAAAATTAATAGATGAAGAATTATCATCGATACCAAATGATCAGATGGATAAAGTGAAAATGAATATTTTGCAAATGATATATTTATTTAAAAGCCAATTAAAAAAATAATATATTTATTTTTTATTATTACAAATTATATATTTCTAAATTGAATAAATTTTTTACTATATTATTTATGTCTTGAGTTAGATAAAAATAAATAAATAATTAATTTTCAAAAATTAGTTTTCTAAGATTTTTATGTATATTAGTTAAATAATTTAATTATGGGTGTCAAATTATATATTTGTACAGGCAGAGTAGATAAGATATTTACACTTAGGATCCTTTTCTTTCTTATACAAGCTACTTTTTAAAAAATGTCACATTACAAAAAATATATTAATACAGACCTAAGTATCAATCTCTAATAAATCTTATTACCCATTCACCAAGTATTTAATTTGAATACAATAGCAGACAATATTTATTTATACGTATAAATTATTTTTTAAGAATTTTTCAATCAAAAACATGGTTAATTGGTACCAAATATTGATTTTTTGAACAAGTTCTTGGATGACTAATAATATTTTTTTATTAAATGAAAATATATACCAATAAAGTATAGAGGAATTTAATACATATAATTTTATAACAAATTTTTGAATAAATAAATATTAATTTAAAATATTAGATTGCCAAGGCAAAATATCAATATTATTAAAATAAATTTCTTATATTTTTATTTTGATCAATAGTATTTTTAATACTCTGTTGGTTCCATATAGGATGATTTGAACCAACAGGATCATAATTTGTTACATTTATATTTTCTTTAATTAAAATGATGTTGTGCAAAATACAACATGCTTTAATGATGTTTTCAAATACAGGTAAACTAACTTCTACCTTATTCAATAAAATCCTCCATTTAGAGGTTAAAACCCCAAAACTACATTCAACTACTCGCCTTGCCCGGGATAGGCGGTAGTTAAATATTTTATTATTATCATCATTATTTCTAATATAAGGTTTCATCAAATATCTTTTAAGAGGATATCCCCCTTCCCCTAAAATAACATGTGGAACCAATATATTAGAATTTGGCAACAGCTTCGGAGGTGGAATCGGGAGTTCATTTCTTTCAATTCTTTGAGATAGAAGTGAGTTGGCAAAAACACCACCATCACTTTGACTCCCATAACTTCCAACATCTATAACCATAAATTTGCCCATATGATCAACAAAAGCTTGAAGAATCAATGAGAATTTATGCTTATAATTATAAAATTGGGTTCCAGAATGTGGTGGCCTCTTTGTCTGTTTGCCATCAATGGCCCCTAATAAAATATTAAAATTTTAATATAGTAAGAAATAATAAAATTAAAAAATATTATCTTTAGTTTGAGTTAAATAAAATTATCACCTATACAGTTTGGGAAGTTCCACATTTCCTCAAAGCCTTTAGCAACTTCCTCAAACATCTCCAATATAGGGACCTCCATATGGATGGGTTGAAAAATCCCATAAGGCTATTATTGTTTCCCCAATTATTTATTTAATTGTAGATATTCCAAATTTATAATTATAAGACATTGAGATATATGAGTCCCCAGTTGCAAGATATCTAGAATAAATGCAGTAAGAATTTAGCATAAAAATTGGCAATAAGATACAGGGGCCCCTACAACGCGGGGGGGGGTCCAAAGCAACTGCTTCACTAAATTTGAGTGGGGGTACGTTTTTTAAAAAAATTTTTATGCAGTTTAACGAAAGATTTAATGATGATTCCATGAAATTTTTACATCAAACATCATTTTTTACGCCAAAGGGAATGGCAGAAAAATCAATTATTAAAGAAGATATCAAGGATATCTGTGAATTTTACAATTTAAATTCAAGTCAAATTTTCGAAGAAATGTTGAAGTTTATAAATATTTATAAGATGGCCAAAATGGGGAATGTAATTGTTACTCATGACCTAGAGGTTCAAGAATCTAAAGAATTGTCAGATTCTGAGAATTGTAAATTTATTTAATTAAAATATTTTTACCAATACATTATTTAGCTTCTTCTGATGATGATGATAATTCAGGGACTTACGATTCAGATTGGAAAAAAAAAACTATTCATTTATTTTACCTTATCATTTACTTTTAAATTTTTCTGCTTTCCCTAATTTAAGAATTTTATATAAATATTTATTAACCATTCCCAGAACCTCATGTACTGCCGAAAGAGTCATGATTATAATTAAATTAATTAAAACAAGACTGTGCAGTACCATGAAAGATTCTTTTCTCAATAATTTAACCATATTATCAATGGAAAAAATTTTATTTAAACAATTAAATAATTATAAATTCTTTCGCTTTCTCTTCCCCTAAAATAATATTTATAAAGTTATATTTTTTTGCATTTTATTTATATTATATATTAAAAATTGATGCAATAAAAATTATTTCTGAAATTTATGAGTATCATAATTATCATTTTTTCGAGGGGGGGGGGGTACTTTTCAAGGGGGTACTTTTCATGGGGGTATTCTGCTTCATTCGCTCAAAAAGTGTAGGGGCCACTGATAAAATGTGTCTGATAAAAACAATAATTAATAAGTGTTTCAACTTATATTAGTATAAATAAGGGTTAGATTTCAATATTATTTATAAAATTTAAATTTATTTAAATATATATGATAAGCTAATTTCAACAAATTTATATATATAATAAGATATAAAAGAATTATAAAAAACTATGAATATTTACCTCAGAGTTATCATCAACTTTTCATCTGGGGTAATTAGAGTTTTAATAAAATTAGTTTTTTTTTTGGTAATTTTGAATTTATGAGATTCAAGATGTAATAAAACGTTTCCTATTATTTATATTCGAATTATGAAAATACTATATATAAAAATATACTCACTTTTTTCATACGCATATAATTATAAAACTTAACATCATTTTGAAGTAATTTTGGGAGCAAAGTAAAATATGCTCCCTCTTTTCTTCTTTTTGAATTAACATTATTTTTATCTTTCTTGTATAATATAGCATATAAAATATATAATTTGACTAATGAATATTTGTTCATTATAAAAAAATAAAATAATGTCTAATTTGTTTTAAGTCGAAACGTTAAAAAAATTCACTATGAAAGCCTTCTAGAAAGCCGTCAAATCAGATGTTTTGACGTCAAAAACGGATCCGTCTCCACTATGAATGCAGCCTAAGGCTGCATATTTGGATTTGGACCCTGAAAATAATTTTAGGAAGAGTCATGATAATTAAAAATTAATAATATAGTAGATTAGTGATTTTGAACTCGGCTAAAATATTAAATTATTAATTTTCAATTAATAAATGATTATATTTATTTAATTAGGGTTATATAATAATTTAAATAATAAAGGTCAATTAAGCTTCAACTGTTAATGCTAAATTAATATTTAGTGAGTGATATAGTTATATTTTTAACATAGAATTTGATTGCTAGCTGACATAGTATAATTTATTTATATGTAATAATCTAATCTAATAATTAAAATAGTATTCATTTAATAAAATTTAAGATAGTCTTATTAATTTTTTAACAAAATTAAATCTATATATTACTTAATAGAATTATAAAAGAAATCATTCAGAGGGCAATTAAAAACATTTATTTTTAGCTCAATGGGATGTTAAGGAGCCATTAAGAAAATTTGCTTCAGGGGGCTATTCAAACTTTTCAGGAGGCTCGAGCCCCTGCACCCCCCCCCCCTAGTGACGCCACTGTTAGTATAAAATCTCAATAATATTCATTATGTATTAAACATCACCTTTACTTTCTCTGTAAATGTTAATAAAAACCAGAATATTTAATTATGATCTTAATACTATAAAGAGTATTTATTCTAACTTAATTACTCTAAATAAATCTTAAAATTTTTCATTCGGCAATAATCAAAACAGTATAACTATAAATTACTTGCTCTAAAAATGTTTTTTTATTCATCTAGTAAAAAAATGAGATTATAAAAATAATATATAATAAAAATAAACCTGAAATTTATGAAATTATCATCGTAAAAAATCCAAATACAAATGGCAGCTACTCACTTCAATTTTTGCCACTTCAAATACATTAATCGGCAGTCTATAATATTAATGTCATTGGTTTGCAGCTATGTTTTATAACCGTAATTGATTTACATTTTATAAAAAATTTATATAAAGCTCATGAGAAAATTATTTTTTAGTAATAACAGATTTTATTTTTATACTTAATTGATAAAACAAAGAAATATTCGCTTGATAAATTGAATCCTTATATTTAAATTGAGCTAAATCCCTACTACTAATACCCATTCCACAAAGCAATTCCTCACAATACAGACTACAATTTTATTCTTCTTTACACAATTCATGGTGTAGTCATTTTATTTAACATTAAATACGACAATTCATCATTTAGTCATTTTAATTTAACATTAAATGCAGCCATTCGTAGTTTAGTCATTTTAATTTAACATTAAATACGGAAATTCGTCGTTTAGTCATTTTAATTAATACGGCAGTTCATAGTTTATTCATTTTTATTTAATTACTGCAACTCATAGTTTACTCATGGCAATTATCAATCTACCTAACAATTCGTAGTTTTTAGCGATTCGATTCACAACCAATTAAAGAATTTCCTTGAGTTGCATGAACTGGTTTATTATTATAACCCATTATTTTCAGCTGTACTGAATTCATAGTGGCGCGATTGCGATTTAGACACGATAATTACAAAATACAGTAAATATGATATCGCATTCATAGTTACCGATCGCGCGATTTGATATGCGAAAGCAAATCGCCGCGATTTTTTTAAAACACAAAAGATTTTGAAATAGTGCTTCATTAAATACCGATTTTGGTGAATATAGCTCAAAATTTTTGATTTTGTGCTACTTTTAAATTTAGCCTAATTTTTTTATTAATTGAAATGAATTCAAAGACAACCTTTTTTGATGATATAAAACCAAAGGATCAAGTTAAAAATATGATTTAAATTTAATTTTTTTTTAGAAAATAGATAAAATAGCTTTTATTCTTTCTCTTAAAGAGTACAAATGTTTATATAATAAGCATAATCATTTGTATAAAAGTATTATATACAAGAATAAAATCTGGGAATTATTAGCCAAGCAGTATAATATGCCTGATAATAATTTTGCATACATATTATATTTATAAATTTTTTTAGGTTCATCTCTCTGGAAAAATCTGAGAGATTGTTTTATAAAAGAGAGGCAAAAGCTAAAAAGACTGAAAAGTGGGTCAGAGGTCACATCTCATGGCCATTCTATCAGCATATGCTATTCCTGGTAGAAACCTTAACACCTAGATCACAGAAATCCTCTTTAGATATAGAGGAATGTACTACTAAAGATGCAAATGATATATTTAAAAATAACAGGGGGTATACATGAATGTAAAATATCGCATTTTAATTGATAAAATATAGTTATTATTTAGGTGATCTCATTGAATTCAGATTCTGCAGGATTAAATCTTAGTAATGATTCTGGTAATTAATAATATCTAAAAATTTATATTATCCTTTATATAGAATCTATGTCCTGTGTTGGGTCACCTAGTTTTTATTATAAATGTCCTAAGAGAAAGAACAATGATATGGGTAATTTATATTTTTTGATTTGGTGATAAATTTTAAATAGATTAGGAAATTAATGAAAATAGAAGCAGATAAAGTATTAATAACGTTGGAAATGCTTAAAAATAAATCAACAGAACATGCAATATGTTTAATGTTATAAGAAAAATTAGATGATTGTACCAAAGAGGAAAAAAAAGAAAAAACAAATAAAATATTTGATATTATATAAGATTATTGATTAAAATTATTTTGAATATATTTTTGTTATTTGTAATATATATTTTGTGTGTATTTATATTTGAAATAAACATTTTGTGATTTACATTGAATGATACAATTATTCCCAAAAGTCCTGCATTAATTAAGCTTTGTACTGAGTTTGGTAATTAATAATGTCTAAATATATATTATTTATAATGAATGATCTTTATCTTAAAGAAAGTTTAACGATATTGGGAATTTATGTTAACTTGCTTTATAAAAATATTTTCAATAGATGAATTTAGAATAACTATATAGCTTTTTTAGTGACATATTCCTACATATATATTTTATGAGTTTAGACTATATTAAAAATAACTTTATTTTTATTATAATATATATAAAATACAAAACAAGATATATATAAAAATTAGATGATTGTACCAATCAGGAAAAAAAAGAAATAACTAGAATACTTGATATTATAAAAGATTAGTGATTAAAATTATTTTGAATATATTTTTGTTATTTGAAACTATATTAATAATAACTTTATTTTTATTATAATATATATAAAATACAAAACAAGGTATTTATATAAAATACAAAACAAGATATTTATATAATATACAAAATAAGATATGTTTAAATTTATAAAAATCTATAATATAGGACTTTTATATAAATATAAGCATAATCATGGAATGAATCAGAATAGCTGTGTTGATTTAATACTATATGAACCTTATGTTGCTAAATACCTAAATAAAAAATATATTTAAATAATAAATTGCTTTATTTTTACCTTAAACAAACCATAAGCTTTTCTTCAACACAACACTTATAGGATGTTTTATAAAATTGGTACATTTGGTATGTAATAAAGGTTTTACAAGTTTGAGTATATAATAAAAGGTTTCCTAAATTAAAATGAATTATAGATAAAATTGAATAAAATTAATTTAGTCATTCTCATATAGTTGAAAAATTTAGGCTCATTTTTTAATAGTTTAGGAAAGAGGACATAAAATTCGCCCTCTTTTGTTTTATTAATATTAAGATGGTTTAAACTTCTCCTCTTCAAGATCATTCCTAAAAAATAATAATTAGAGGATGGATCACATTTTGAATTAATAACGCTTTGCACTGCACTATAATGAAAATCGCTGCGAAATCGCAATCGCTCTTCACTACAGAGTTATATGTTTTCGTATCGCACCGCCTTTACTATTTTTTAGTTATAATTAGGGAATTTTGTCGGTAAACTTTTCGGTAAATTTCGGATAAGCTTAAAATTTATATGCTTAAATTTCCTTAAGCTTTTTGCATGCTCAAATATCTTAAGCTTACTGCTTAATTTATAAACTTTTATAAATATCAAATTGCAGCTGTTTATTATCAATTAAGCTATATTACAGTAAAAGTATATTTATTTTATGTTTAAATATCTTATATTGCAGCTCTTTATTGCTCAATTTACAAGCTTTTATAAATATATTGCAGCTCTTTATTGCTCAATTAAGCTATATTACAGTTAAAGTATATTTATTTTATGTTTAAATATCTTATATTGCAGCTTTATTGATCAATTTACAAGCTTTTATAAATATCATATTGCAGCTCTTTATTGCTCAATTAAGCTAAATAACAGGAAAAGTATATTTGCTATATATTTAAAAATCTTACTATATTGCAGCTCTTTATTATCAATTAAGCAAAATTATAGTAAAAGTATATTTATTTTATATTTAAATATCTTATATTGCAGCTCTTTATTGCTCATTTTAAAAGCTTTTATAAATATCACATTGCAGCTCTTTATTATCAATTAGGCTAAATAACTGTAAAAGTATATTTACTATATTTTTAAAAATCTTATTATATTGCAGCTTTTTATTACTCAATTTACAAGCTTTTATGAATATTACAATTAAACCATATTGCAGTAAAAAAAAGGAAGAGTAACCTTACTTTATAATTCAATAATCCATAAATCTTATAAGTATCTTATTATATTGCAGCTATTTATTACTCAGTTTACAAGCTTTTATGAATACAGTAAAAAAAGAAACTTTACTTTAGAATTCAAAAATAAAAGTATATTTTATTCAAAAATGGCTATATAAATTATATATAATTGTAGATGCCAATTCCACCAAATTTCCGTTTACATAAATATTATAATGAATCAACTACTTATTATGAATGCTCAAAAGCATCATGAAAAGGGAAAGGCATACTCAAATGTAATGTATTTAGTATATTTAAAGAGTGTACTGGTAGATAAAATATTTTTAAATGTATATAAATTAAATGTATTAAAGATCCAAATTGCTACCAGCAAAAATTCAAATCAATATCAACACAAAGTTTATGATGAATAGAAATATGAAAATTTTTATTTTACTTAGCTGAAGACAATTTAATTGACCAATTTACTCAGACAGATGGAAGAATTTATGTTACAAATGAATGTCAAAGTGAATTTTTATCTATATTTACATTCATTATCTTAAAACAAAGCTGGTGATAAAGATTATAACCATCTACCTAACAGCCTTACAAGAAGTCTAAGTACCATAATTATTTAAATATTTTTAACTATCTTAAAACAAAGCTGGTGATCATGATTATAACTATCTACCTAACAGCCTTACAACAAGTCTAAGTACCATAATTATTTATATACTTATAACTATCTTAAAACAAAGCTGGTGATCATGATTATAACTATCTACCTAACAGCCTTACAACAAGTCAAGTACCATAATTATTTATATATTTATAACTATCTTAAAACAAAGCTTGTGATCATGATTATAACTATCTACCTAACAGCCTTACAACAAGTCTAAGTACCATAATTATTTATATATTTATAACTATCTTAAAACAAAGTTGATCAAAATGAAACCCATGTTTTACATAGTAATGGAAATGAAAACCATGTTATGCATAGTAATGAAAATGAAACCCATTTATGTAAGATATAATTTTACATACTAATGATTATAATAAAAATTTAAGCAGCTATTTATGAACATGGAGTTATTAATCTTACAACAAATTCAAGTATCATAATATATTATTTTGATATTTATATTCATTATTTTTAAACAAAGCTAATTATCAAGAAAATCAAATATTATTTTTTTTAAAAAAAGTTCCCCTAGTAATTTATTACATCTAAATTTAATAATAATTTAATCTATTCAAATAAATATTTATATCTTCGCAATAAATGTCGTTTACAAAGTTGTAAGGGAAGGGTTATATTAGGTAGTCATTTTACGATGACAAAGCAACGTAATTATGAGAATGATGAAGAGTATTATACCTTTACTTACGTTAAATGAATTAAAAAATCAAACAAAATTAAATAAATATTTAAGTTTACATAAAATATATAAAAAGGTTATGCGCGAAAGGAAATTAGATTCCTGTGCGATGCGACATCCTAGAACCTTACCAACATTTTTGTCGGAAAAACAATTATGGCACGCGTTATTCAATCGAGCCCTCCTTACCTCGCACAATATTTGTTTTATATTTTTTTTGATATCAGTAAAAAAATATCGTTATTGTTGATCCAAGTTATTTTATTGTAGTTGGGTTTGGCTGAAATGGTATATTCCAATTTCAAAATCTATGTTATGTTCCTCAACTATTGCTATATCATCATTTGTGGAGAGCTTTATATGGTAAAAGTACATAATACTAATAATAATGTTAATGACGTTGGAATGCTTGAATAGTACACTAAACCCTTCCTTTGTATAATTTTTTTTATCAGTTTGTATAACTTATTATTGTCGATATATTTTTTGTTTAATTTATTTCAATTCAAACATCTTTCATATTGTACGTTTATATTATTGTTTCGCGCACTATTATAAAATTATTTTTTTATTCCAGATATATATATATATATATGTAATTAAATTCTTATAAAATACATTTTTAATATTGTCTACACAGGCATGAATAAATAAAATTATATTCGCGAATTTTCAGAAAAATTTCTTAATCAATAATTATTTAATCTTTTGTGTTGTCATATGCACTCGAAATAAAAAGAAATATTCATTTGTAGCCATAATGATATTATATAAATATTTACATAAAATTTTTAATAAAGGAGTTCTTAGTAAGAAAAAAAATTAACGATCCTATATTAGAAATAACAAAAATATTTGAGTAAATAAGATATTTGAAGGAATAATAAGTATAAATACCTACTATAAAAATTTTATTTATAGAGTTCCAATAAAATAAAATTAATGATCCCATTAATTATTAGAAATCTCAAGAAAAATTTGAGTAAATAAGATATTTGAAGGAATAATAAATATAAATACCTACTATAAAAATTTTATTTATAGAGTGCCAATAAAAAAAAAATTAACGATCCCATTAATTATTAGAAATCTCAAGAAAAATTTGAGTAAATAAGATATTTGAAGGAATATTAAGTATAAATACCTACTATAAAAATTTTATTTATAGAGTTCCAATAAAAAAAAAATAAACAATCCCATTAATTATTAGAAATCTCAAAAAAAATTTGCATAAATAAGATATTTGAAGGAATAATAAGTATAAATACCTACTATAAAAATTTTAATTATAGAGTTCCTAGCAAAAAAAATTAATTATCCCATTAATCATTAGAAATAATAAAAAAATTAAAATATACGAGTAAATGTGATATTTATAGAAATAATAAATATCTATTACCCCTTTACCCTCAAATTTATTTTTATTTTCTACCCATCTATAAGTCTCATGAAATTATATTCACAAAACGACGTAGGTAAATGGCTACTAGTTTTACCATTCTTGGTTATTTTTTTAAAATAAATATTACAAAAAAATTAATATATAGTTCTATTATTAAATAGATAAGTTCTCTAATGCAGAAGAAAATTGTTTTAATATCATCTAATATAAATTATTTTAAAAAATATATAAAATATTGAATAAATTCTATTTATTATTTCATTTTAAATTAATTATATTAAATATATCAATAATATTAAAATATGCAATATATATTATAAGTATATTAAATAAATTATAATAATTATGTAAAAAATATTTAATTATTATATTATAATAAAATTTTATAATCTTACAATATAATACATTTATTAATTTACATAATTTTCTTTATATCTTAATATTAAATATATTAAAATTAAAATTATATTATACTATGTATTTATTATTATATAAATTTTTTATAATATTATATTATATTATTAATTTATATGACTAATTAATAGAATTATTTTCTAATATTTATATTAATAAATTTTTATTTATATTAAATTAATTTAATATTAAATAATTTACTTTAAATAGTAAAATCTGAAATCTCCAATGACAATCTCTCGCTTCAAACTTATATGGGCCATTTTGACAGCCATTTTAGCTTATTTGCTTTTTTAACACTGTAACCATATGTTTTTAAACAAATGTAAATTTTTATAAATATATTTAATTTCATTACTATCTTTATTGAAGTTGGCCAAAATAGATACATATTTACAAATGCTTTATGTAATTACCTGAATACACATGTTCTAAAATCTCAAGAGTATTTTAAAAATGTGGATGCATCTAAAGAGTTTGATGTGGTTGTTATTGGTGGAGGTGTGTTTGGATGCAGTTTGCTTTACCATTTAGTTAAGGAGGGAATTAAAAATATTGCATTGTTTGAAAAAGATAGCATAACATGTGGCACCACATGGCATACAGCAGGTATTGAGTATTATATAATAAAGTAAAAATATCAAATTAAGGATTATTGTGGCGCTTAAGACCAAATGATATTGAGATCCAATTGTTAAATTATACAAGATGGTTAATGAAGTCTCTTGAAACTGAAACTGGTATAAGTACTGGATGGTTTGAAAATGGTGGGCTATTTTTGGCCTCTACTCCTGAAAGATTAAAGGAATATCAAAGGCTTTCAACAGTAACTATTTAGAAATTTAGCTAACCTATAAGATTACTTAATTTTATAAAAACTATTTTAAATATAATTTTAAAATTTATGCAATAATTTTAGCATAGGTTAGAATATTGCTTTCACTTAATAACCAAGGCTATCTCCAATTTAGCTTTTAATTCATAGAATAATGTTTTGACATTTTTTTCTTATTCTTAAAACATTGTATTGGCATAAAGTTAGAAAATATTTTAGATGTACTATGAACTGGTACTCAACAAGTATCTGATCTTAAAGATTGAGGTGGTTTGTTCTATATTATATATTATTTATTTATAAATAATTACAATTGTTATTTCTTGTGTTTTACCTATTTTACCCTCAAATGTATTTTAAATCAGATTTTGCTTAAACGTTTTTTGCATTTTATAATACCCTATTGATTTTTATTATAGGAAAATACTGCAGCTAGTATGTGTTTTTTCTTAAAAAATGTAATAATTTTTTTCATTATTGATATATGGTAACTGAAGGCATTAAACATTCAAAATCATGTAAGAATAACTGCAATGTATGTGCTATACATCCATAACATTGTATATGATTATAAATGAATTTTGACAATTCTAAGCTGCTTTCATGCTGAGGGCATTATTGGTAATTAAAGGATATATTTTTACTGGATTCAATTCAGGAATTATATTAAATTCCTGTACAATATAATCTGCCATACCACGATTCTCCTCAGTATTCAAAAGATTGTAACATATGGCAACCAATGTCATCCAATAAAATGTATAACTCATTTTGGATGTTTTTTCAGCCACCTTACACAATTGATAAATGAGCAGTTTTATCTGTAATATCTGCAACCCTCCCTCCATATCCTAAAACTTTACTTAAAAGATGCCCAGTCAACTACCTTCACCTGGGTTAGGCCTTAATAAGACATTAAAAAAAATTCTTATATGTAAGGATTTTACTTTAAAGAATTTATGTCCAGCAAAAAGATCACCTAGACTAGGGTTGTCAACTTGGGTCGATTTTTAGAAACGACCCGATTAAAATTTTAAGTCAAAATAATATTATGTAAGCCTCGAGATTTGGCAAATAGATTTTCAAAACATTTCTCCAAGCTTAAATAATGTTATTTTATTGAAAATCTTAATCGGGTCGTTTTAACAACCTTTTATTTTATTTTATAGCCAGAAGAAAGAAGGATGAAGCAGAAGCTATTAGAAATAGTGTTGTAAACGAACGCGTACATTTTGAACGCACTCGTGAACGAAGTTATTTTTTTGAAAAAAATGATGAACGACGTTCCTTTTATTTTTGACGAACTTTGAACGTGAACGCATTCCTTTTTTATGACGAACGCGTTCGAATTTAACGTTCGTTCAATTTTATTTATATTAATCCGAATATTTTAAGAAAAAAATCTTAAATCAACTGTTTTTCATATTTCACATTTCAATTTTTTTTATATTTAATAGATTAGCATAAGCATGGATATAGTTATGTTTTGGTTATCACTGTTATATTTTTTTCTTTTACACGATTAAATTTTATTCTATATCTTTATTTTCAAAAAAGCTTTTTCATCTCAATTTTATGTTGAGCTTTTATTATATTATCTCTCTCGTGATTCAGAGAAAAAAATTATACTAGCTAAAAACCCGTCAAGAATGACGGGGTTGAGGGGTAATTATTTAGTTTTTCTCTCTACTTTTATGATAGTTGTTTATTTGAAAATAATATCTTTTTATTCTTATAACCCCCCCCCCCCCCCTTCAGGCCAGGTCCCCAGGCTTGCAGAAAAATTTGTTTTAGGTCAATGTCTGATCCATAGTGGATAATAGAATTCCCAAGCGTCCAAGCTGATAATAATTTTGAAAAATTTTCCCTAAACCCAGTCTAATATAATTCATAAAAATATTTTCCAAGCCCAGCCTCACCCATAATAATTTGAAAAAATTTTTCTCGAACCTGGCCAACGCGTAATAATTTTGAAATTTTTTATCAAGCCTGGAGATAAGTAAATTTCTAAAAACTATATTCATTTTTTATTCTTTTTAATCCCGCTCAATCCTACTTCAGACCAAGACCAACTCATTAGGACTAATAGTGAATACTAATTTTTGAGTAAAAATATATTTAAATTAGCTTTTACCTGAGACCCATATAAATATTATGATATATAATATAAAAAAATTCCCAACAGGTTCATGCTCATAATCATGTAGAGAAAATTTTCTCAAGTCCGCCAAAGACCATAATAATTTTGGTAGTTAAGAAATGAAATAAAATATGTAAAAGTCATAATTCATTTATACAATCAGAATATGAAAGTTGCATGAGCGTTGGTTTTTTGATCAGGCCTAGCTATGTCTGTAAAAAAAAAATTTCAGGCCAATGTCTAACCCATATTTAAAATTCAAAAATCTTCAAGCATCTCTATTTTAAATTTTATCCAATATGATTACCATCACAAATTTAAATTTTGATATTTCTAATACTCTTAATGCTCACTATATTGCAACAATTTTACCTCTTTTTCTCCTAAATTTTAATATTTTTATAAAATTTATTAATAAAATATATTTAGTACCATACACACAAACTAAATAATTACCCTTCAACACTGTCAGCGAGTTATGGTAATAAAAGGCAAAATTTTAAAAATATCAGCTATTAATTAATATATATATAATTAATATATTAAATTTAATTATATTCAAGTAAATGCATGCGTAAAGCATACACCTTTGAAACGGGAGGTTTGTGTTCGACTCTCGTAGATAGCAAAAAATTAATACATTATATAGTCTCCTTAAATTTAAAATACATTAGATATATAAAACAAAAACAATTTTTCATAATTCCCCTAATCAAAAAATAAATAATATTTTTCAAAAGAAAATAAAATCGATAAATGAATCCCAGAATCCGATAATAATATTCTTTACAAAAAAATAAAAAATACTAATAAATCGATATTCATATCAGATATTATTATTTTATCATCACCTGATTCTGAAAATTCAAAATCAGATGAATTACCATTACCATGGCCCAAATATGATAAATATTTTACAGTAACATCCTGTATTGAAGGAACTAAATAAATACTTATCAAATGTAAAATGTGACCAAAAAGTATCATATCTCTTTCAAAATCTTCAGCTCCAGTTTAAAACGACATTTGATTGTAATATTAATTATTTTATTTTATATAATATAACTGTAAAATCATTAAATTTGAAGAAAAAATGCATATGGGCTATTTCCAACAATAACGATAGTTATTTTAAAATTAAAAAAAATTAGTCGCCTAAAATAGGTCAACCATTGATAGACGTAGTATTAAATGATATTAATAAAAAGTATTAAACCTATCACTATCAAATTAATTACATATATTTTATTTTTTTTATGAACATAGAATATCAATATGTTCTTTCTGCAATTATACATCCAGTATTCAAGCTTAAATTGCCATGGATAAAACTTCAACAGAACTAACCTATAAAAAATAAACTTATAGCGTTATTAAAAAAATGCATTGAAAACGCTAGAAATGATAATGCAAGAATGTTAATATCGATATATCCTCATTTATGACGAGGATGTAGAGGATGATTGGAGGAGGATAACTTATCTCAATTTTTTGAAGCAAAGGACAGAACAATAAATGTTTTCAATAAATTCCCAATGTTAAAAGAGTTGTTTATTAAGTATAATTAGCAATCCCCTCATCTACCCCTGTACCCGTTTTTAGTATGGCTAATCCCGTATTAACTGCCAAGTGTTCCTGTCTATCAGATGAAAATTTTGCAAAACAATTGTTATTAAAGATTAATAAGAAAAATCTTTTATAAATAAAAATATCTTTTTATTCGCTATATTATATTATATTATATTTATAATTATATTATCAAAATTAAACCTTATTATTTTTTAACATGGTTAATATATTGTGTTAAAAATATAAGACATTTATTTATATTAAATTAAATTAAAAATAAAATAAAATTTATCATAAAATTTTGAACGAATTATCAATGAACATTGAACGCGAAGGCGTTCGATTTTTTTAGAAATGTTTACAGTTTAGAAATAATGAAAAATTTTATTTATATATTTTTCAGAATTTTTAAATGTGGTAAATTAGAAAAATGCAATATTATAACAAAAATTTCTATAATCTTCGAATATTAAGTTTAAAGAAAGCCTTTTTAACATTTTGAAATATTAGTTAAATATAAAATTTATAAACAATTTTTTGAAATGTAAAATTGAAGTTGAATGTTTGGATAAAGAGTGGGGGAGTAGGTGTTTCAAAGAAAAATCTAGACACGACAGATAAAAATTTTTTTGATGAACTTTGTCAAGGTAAAAGATTGCAAAGTTAAGGAAAATTTGTAAAAGTCAGTATCGATATTATATCTCTAATCAGATTGTTTAAAAGTATAAAATATATTGTCTACACTCTTAGTTTTATTAATTCTAAGAATCTGATAAACTATCTTAACACAAATATAACGAAAAAATATTTTGTGAATAAAAAAGTATAATTAAGATTTAAGCAGTTCATTCCCAAATGAACTTAATTAATTTCCACTCGATATTTTATCAAGAAATCGACAAATTTGAAACAATTTCAAGATTTGGAAAGGTTTTTTATATTGATTATAAATACATCATTAATACCCAGCAGAGTTGTTAAAAAATACTTTTAAATGGATTTAAATACATACATCGGCTAAACAGCAATAATATCCCAGCAGAGTTGTTAAAAAATACTTTTTAAATGGATCTAGAAAGATACATCGGCTAAAGTTCTCCATATACAGATACAATTTAAAAAATGTATCTAGATACAGATAAAATTTTTATTGTACTTTTATATAAGGTTTGCATAAACCTAAATTAGGATTCTATTGTGAAAATTCATGAAATGAGCTAAAAAATTTATAAACTCGATATCACATTTATCAAAATATAACTAAAATAATGATTTTTAAATTTTAATATAATAATATAATATATGAAAATATAAATGACTATAAATAATCATTAGATTTCAGTAATTAAATATTTTCAAAATTTCGGTCATTTAGGCATCCTCGTTTATCTGTAAAGACATTTTTAGTTGCACTAAAAAGTCTTTCTACCGGGCGCTTGAAGGGTTTGTGGTGTTATATTTTATGAATAATAATATATCAGGATATTCTTTAAAAATACTAAAATCTCGACATTCATTTTTGAAAAAATTATTTAATATGAAAAAAAATTGGATATTAAATTATTTGTGTTTTTTTCAAAGGTTATTTGCTTGCAATCAGTTGTAGACATTGATAATTCATCAACTAATCTGTATTGTTTTTTATTAAAATTTTTATCCATTTATAACCATATTCAATCAAGTTTTAAAAAGGGATGGAGCATAGTTGCTATAATATTTTCATCTTCAAATATTGTCACAATAAACCTAGAATTATTAAATTGATTAATTTATTATTATTAATTTACCTATCTTCACCCTTTATGTTAGGCATCTAAGAGTGGTAAACAAAATCTCATATTCATTAGTTATTCAATTTGATAATCAGCTGTGAAATGGTTGCACAGTAATAAGCTGTGTACCTTGCAAAATATCAAGAGAACTAGCTACTGGCTTCATTAGCTAATTTAAAATAATGCTATTTATATAAATTTTATAACTTACTAAACAATATTCACGAACAAAATATCATTCATTAGATAAAAACCTAGATAGTTTCATTCCATCACATATCTTGTCTAATTTGTCAGATTTAGCTTTAATAATTTCGACATTAATTGCAAAACTATGTGGAGTTCCATTGGGTTATATTAGGACATATAAAAGAACGGCCAATATTTTTTTAAATAATCTCAGATGAAATTGGAGAATATTTTGACATTTAACTAATGTTGTGCAATATATCTAATGAATAAAATATTAAATATTATAATTAAAATTGTTTTACTCTCTGATATTGTTTACACTGCATGGCTCCATTGGCATCCACAGTGGCAACAAGATTCAATGTGTGACTGGCACAACATTGATGATTAGGTAAACTATATGATTCTGATATTTCAAAATCCTGATCAGTTGTATAAAGACTTGATATTGATATTGGTACAACTGCTTCTTCATCTTCCAGATCATCCATAGTTTCACTATTATTTTCAATTGGCTTGAAAACTCTATAATAAATAACTAACCATATTATGTTTGTATTTATAATAAAATAAACCTAAAAGCTTTGAGAAAATTTTGGCATTATCAGTAATGATCTTGAGATTTTATTTTGAATTCAATAATCCTTTGCTATATCTTAATTCTTATCTATTTTATCATATGTATGACTACCAGTCATTCTTTTACAAGCCAACGTTATTTTCCTAACTTGTTAGATCTATATAAAAATTAACATTTCATAAACTGCTTCTTAATTAATTATACAAATTTAAATGTTAGCTATATTGGCGATCTCCAACAATCTGCTGTTGTGCATATTAGCGATGGTTCTATTAGATTTTATGATTTCTTTCTTTTCATTTTCCCATCTTTGGGAAATCTACCAGCCACTGTCCGTCGGCAAATTATATTTTTTGTGGAGCTTATGTTTTGTTTTGATCATTTTTATAAATGAAGGATTTTCAACAATTGAAAATGGCGGAATGCCAGCTATAATAAAAGCAGTTAATAATTCATAAAGTTGTTTGGGTTAAAATCTGAGGTCTCTTGGCTAAAATACCAATGGACGATGAGCCTAGTCCAATATTTTTTCAATTGATTTATTCTCCTTCCCCTTTTTTATTTTCATTAACAGTGTTTAATCTTTTCTCTTAAAATTTAAAATTACAATTGTAAACATATTTAATATCTATACCCTTAAATGAATGTTACAAGTTGAGATAATGATAACTGAAATTTACGTATTTTTTGGTAGACACGGCAAACAACTTCTAGATATTATTTTAAAATATGCTCTATAAATTGGCCATGGAAAAACATTGTCTGAAAACTTGTTGATGCTTCATTGATTATTACTTCTTCCTCTTCATCACTATTAATCTAAACAATTCCATTGAAAATAAAAATGGCATATTCCTGAGATGGATTGTAATACAAAATTTGTCTAGTTTATTGATAAACTCGGATATAATATTTAATGAATATTTGTGTATATTTTTTTAAGGTTTAATATTTTATATATATGTATAATTTTTTTATTATAGTAGTCTTAATATTTTTAAATATATAAATATATTTAGATTATATGCTCATATGAAATAAAATAAATTATGCATTCAAGTATTTTTATTTATGATATAAAAAAGCATTAAATAAAAGTATATCAAAATGTATCTTAAAGTATCTTAAAACAGATACCTCTAAAATAATATCTGATACTTTAAAAAATCTACTAGATACAGATAAAGTATCTAGATACTTCTATGATAAGCATTGTGCACACATAGCGTCTACATGAGAAGTGGGGGTAGGAACAGTTTGCATCCAGTTTTCTTGAGGGGGTAGGCGCCTTTAATGGGGATGAGATAAATTTTTTTTGGGGGGGGGGGGTTATCTATTAAATTTTGAGATGAAATAGGACAAAATATATTGCTGTAAAAATTACTGTTATTATAGACCTATTATAATACAATGATATTGCTGATCATCGACCAAATCTATACATTGCAAACAATCATAGACATTATTTTCCAAATAAAACTTTCTGCTATTCTTAACAAGCTCATAATGCTATAATATGCCTTCATTGTAAATGAGGGGGTTTTTAATTGAATTCATTATCTAAAAAAGAACTCTTATATTCACAAAATTTTGATAGTTGGTAGTATAAATAAAATAATTTAAGTTATTCTTTTTAAAATTTCTGAAAGGAGTATTAATATAATTAAAAAGGTGTAATAAATAATGGAAAATTAGGAAGGAAGGTTTTTGAGGGGGGTTTGCACTCAGTGAAAATCCTGTCATGTAGACGCTGTGCATACAACGTTTAATCTCTTGATATAAATATAAAAATCAATAATTTTGCATCAATTTCGAAATATCAAATTAAAGTATTAAAATTGTTTTGGATACTTATTCATTTTTTCTATATAATAATACGGAAATTTATCAATTGGTATATTTTTTTATTTGAAATATATTGGTAACTTTAATTTTGTTATCTTTATATAAAAAGGGGAAAAGTCTTGTTTAAAATAAAATATAAGTCGGTCTTGAGAGGAATTGCTTTGTTGAATGGGTATTAGTAGTAGGAATTTAGCTCAATTTAAATATAAGGAAGATTTCTTTATTTTATCAACTAAGTATAAAAACAAAACCTGTTATTATCTAACAATAATTTTCTCATGAGCTTTTTATAAAATAAAAAAATAAATATTTTTTTAAATAAAATGTAAATCAATTACGATTATAAAACATAGCTGCAAACTCATATTAACAATTTAAAAGTAATATAAATTGAGTAATAATAAAAATTAAAGTTAATATAGTACATATTATGTAATAAATTTAGAAAAATATTATTTTAATATCTATATACGGTTTATATTAATTATGCAATCACTTTTATAAATTTGCACAATATTTTAAATTTCGTGAAATAACGTTTTCTTCTTATATTGTGTCCTATTTAATTAATTAATAAACTATATTAAATAAAAAATAATAATTGGAGTAAAGGTCTCATTAATGCTTAAATGGCACAATGACGTTTTTAATATATTTTATTTGTTTACATGTTTGAAAGCTGGGCAAATTTTTTGACGTAGAATCACGTATGTTACGACCATCAGATATAGGAGACGTTCACCCATTGATCGATGCTAATCACGTGACCGGAGCTCTTTATAGCCCGGGAGATGGTCAAATTGATCCCACTGGATATTGCAACGCCCTAATACACCAGGCTAAAAAATCGGGTGCTAAGGTTAAAAAAAATGAAATTAAAATTTGAAATGGAACTAATTGAAGTCAGCTGTTCATATTGATTACTTAAAAAAAATTGTATGTATTATAGGATTTTGCAATCATCACCTTATATTTTTATTTAAAACAATTTTATTTTGTAAAACTCTCCTTCCTACTTTTAATTATAATAGTATAATTAGTCCCAACCCTTTTATGATGATATCCTGAAATATAATATTTAAAGCTAAGACTAACCATTCATAAAAATTTTTGTATATTTTTTATGTGAGTAATGAGTATTAAAAATCAACATAAATTTCATTGTTAAAAAAATATAAATATTATATCGAAGGTATTCGAAAATTGCATCGTTGATTCCATTCAAATGTTGGCCCCCATAGACGGGGCCTCTATCAGGCCCAAAGTGGCTGGCATACATTTTTCATTTCGACCTACTGCAGGTGCTACTATGACCGATGATTCATCGATCAAAACCGGTATGGTTCGTTGTCGACAGGTAGTTAATTGTGCTGGTGTGTGGGCATGCTCCCTGGCATCGGAAATCGGTGTTGCCCTTCCCCAGACCCCTTTGTTTCACTCTTACGTCCTGAGCGAATCAGTCTTTGATCCCTTGGGTATCCCTCTTCCCAAATTTAGCTCATCCGTTAAATTTGATCATGCTAAAAACGCCATAACTGTTCCCAACATTCGGGATCATGACCGGTCGATCTACGTCAAGTTGCAAGGCAGACAAAGTTTTGCTTTTGGAGGTTACGAAACTAACCCCGCCTTCGTTCATGGACCCGATAACGTAATCTTATAAATGAATAATATACAAATAACTTTGTTGTGAAATTCATAAAATATATAAGTTTGGTTGCTGTGGAAAACCGGACCTAATCAAGGTTCCGAATCATTACTAGGCTATATTTAGATCATTCCTACAGAATGATAATGGAAATTAGTTATCTGTTGACTCCCTCCCCTACCCCCAACTTCGCAAATAATTAACTTATTGGCCTTTACCTATTAATGCTAAAAATTTATGGCTCTTAATTATTAGGCTACAACGATCTACTTTCCCCCATCCGATATTGACTAAAACCAACACGATACCCATATTTAAATAGATTTATAATTATTATCTATATTTTGCTTTTATTGCTTAAATTTGCAATATTGACGAAATTATGCTAATATTACTTATTTATTGAGTATTTATTATAAAATTTCAACTTGTTATATATAAGGGTTATCAAGAGGGTAGCCAGTAGGGGAATTTCCCTCCCCCCATAGCAAAAAATTTTGAAATAACAAAAGGTTTTTATGAATTGTGAATGCAAAGTATTCTATTTCAAATATATTATTTTATATTCTATTTTAAATTTTAGCAAAAAGTTAAAATTAATTTAAATATTTATTTCCTCTGTATTAATATTTTTCCCACGAAAATTTAAAGCTTATTTTCATACATTTTTTTAAATATTAAAAATTGATGGGTACTTTGACAACATTTATAGAGTGTATGAAATGTTTAAATATCCAAAATAATTTTCGATACTTCTTGTGCTACAAGAAGAAAGAAACTGTAAAAAGTATGCCAAATAAGATTGAGTCTTCTATATCAAGCTATTACAGCATTTTTGGATGTAGAAAAGCCCATTTAGCATGCCCTTGGGGAAATATTAGAAATACCTAAATCACATATTAAGCAGATGCATTATTAGATTGAATATGACAGCCGATTTATTTTTGCATAGGAATATATCAATGAAGTATTTAATTACACTACAATTTTATGCAATATTTTTCAAATAAATGATATTAATATAGCTGAAGTTATGAGATACGCGAATATTATTATATTACCGCTTAGAAAACGAAGAGATGATAACGACTACATTTCACAGGATTTATGTGATTATTGAGGCGAAAGCCAAATTTTAAGATTTTTCCATTCGCAAGCTTAGACTTGCACCTAGCACAATAAATAGTTTCAATATTATTGTGGACTCAATTGATGATTACTATAAAATAGCATTAGTTATTCCATTTTATGGTGCATTTTTGACTCAAATCAATGAACAATCTGCGATTCATCAAATGGCTCTATCCAAAATACTATTACCTACTACTATAAATATTTCTGAGGATATATTAGATCTTGATATTTAAAAAATTAAATATAGTTAAATTATATTCAGAGGATATAAATATATCTGAGGCCTATTAGTTTCAGAATTCTTGGTATTAATTTTAGTAGATGATCCCCTCCAAGAAACGCAATGGAAGCATCGCTTACTTTAAAATATTATTTGGCTTTTTTTAAATATATCAAAATTACTGTATATTTTGGCAACCATAGCAATTAGTACCGCCACAAATGAGGATTTTTTCTTCATTATAGAAAATAAAAACCTAAATCAAAATTACGACATCTTAAAATCGATTGAATTGAATAAGCTTTACTTAATATATATTGAGATTTAAATCCTCATTCAGAACAAATTATTGATTAATTGGCGCAATCGCAAAGAAGATTAAATTATTTTCATTTATAAACGATATTTTATTAACTTTTTTTTCCTTATTTTACTATGATTTATATATCGGTTTTAGCCCTAATATATTTTTTTAAAAATATTATATTCGCTCTTAAATATTTTGTATTCCAATATTTTATTATTTTTTGAAATTGTTATTTTTAATATAAGGTTATAATAAATAAAAAAATTGTTGTATGATACAACTTATATTATGTATTTAAAGTAGTGTTTTCAATTACATTTATGTTTAATATTACTTTTTGACAAATGTTTCACTTAAGGCGAAAAGAAGATATATTTAGATTGTAATAATATATTAAAGGTTGTTAATTATATAACGTGATTGGAAACAATTGATTTTTGAGATATATAAAGAATGATTATTTTTGATATATACACAGATTAAAAAAACCATTCATTTTATTTTCTTTTGTATAACCATATTATTCAATAAAAAATCACTTGTTTAACCATATTATTAAATAAAAAGACCACATCACATTCAAGTTATTCTATATATTTATTCTTATTCATAAATTTATTTCAAGAAAAAATCTCCCCCTTCCCCTACATGTAAAAAATTCCTGGCTACGCGCCTGAGAGTTTTATATTTTTTATTAGTAGTCTATTTATAATGTCTTATTTCCTATCTCTATCATAGAAAACTCCCAAACTTTCATCAGCCCCATTCAATCTTTTCGACCTAAATTGGGACGTGTTTGACCAAAACTTGAAGGGATGCTTGGAAATTATGCCTATACTCAGAGAGGCTGGGATAAAATCAACCGTTTGTGGTTATGGTAACACATTTTTATATTAATATGGAGTAGGATGTATGTATCAAATGATTCTTTTATTGAACTTCACGTTATTTATGTAAAAAAAAGAAAAAATGGGGGAATAAATAATAGAATAAACTTATTTTACTTTTCGAATACTTTACCTAAGAATCGTTCACACCGGATCATAAACCGATTATAGGAGAGTCCCTTGAGGTTAGTGGTTACTACCACGGCTCTGGATTTAACAGCAGCGGCATGATGTTGAGCGGCGGTTGCGGCCGTGAAGTGGCCAAGCTCATAGCAAGGGGTCGGCCCGATCTCGACCTCTTTAATTTCGACATACGGTGCGATTGATTATCTTATGTTAATTTATCATTTGATCTTTAAAATGCATAAATTTTATGTTATCTATAAATCAAATTTTACTCGAAAAAAAAGTATTTACATATTTATGGCGATTTTAATTATGCCATGTCTTCATAAATAATGTATTTTTAAAAATTCGAAGTCGATTTTCTTATTTGTAATAAAACATAAGTAGAGCACTTCGATTATCAGAAATATATATGTTTGTTTGTTTTATAGTTCGTTAATTCATTCAATCTTATGCGCTCTATATATATTGATTCACAAAAAAAGTCGCTTTAACAAACGATACACTTCGAACACGGCCTGGATAATAGAGAGAAGTCACGAGGCTTACGCAAAAAATTATTCGATCGTATTTCCTAACGATGAACCGCTGGCTAGCAGGAACCTAAGGAAATCACCTTTATATCAGGTGAGCATTAGAGCAAAGTGAATTTCATTATCTTTTATGATTATCAATTTTGAAGCAAAATTTTCTTGTGAATTAATTATCAGCTTTTTTGCATATATCAGAATATTAAAAATTCTGATAAAATAACGTTATCCCCAGTTGATATATATCAGCTTAACCTTTGATCTTGGTTTTACCCACGGTCGTTCACTAAAAGTTAAGTTTTTCCATGAACCTTTGTTTATTTGGATGTTAGATGGGTTCTGTGGAATAGCTAACCATAGTGAAAGTCAACCAGAATCGGTTCAGAGTGCTCCACATTTAAAAATTCAAAAAGTGATCTGCTGCAAATATCGGATTTGACTAAGTAACAAGATTCTATTTGGCTTCTAAACTCGATCTGAATGCAACCAACCACTTTTTTGAAAAATTTTTCGGATTGTGAATTAGCCTAAACCGTTCCTGTTGACCTTCACTATCTCATCAATGTATCTTGAATAATCTTTTAGGTCGACTTTGTGGCCTATGATCAGGATTGTAAGCAGGAACATTTTAAACTATCCCGGATACTAAATAATAAAATAGAAAGATTAATATAGGGTAAAAAAATTTATTCATCCATATTAGTTAATACTTTGAGATGGCCAAGGTGATATTGGGTGCATTATCACTAATGATCAAGTGGATTTAGCCCCCCCCCTCTTCAAATTTAGACAAAATCTTCAAAAAATCTTTCTTTAAAAATCTCTCTTTTTTTAAAAATTTTGCAATTTTTATGCGGTAAAATTTTAAAAGATTTATTTATAAAAGACGAATTTTTTAAAGAGATTTTACCATTTTTAGATAAAATTTGATCAAAAATCCCTGTTATTTTTTTTTTCAAACTCTGATATTATTTAAAATATAGGCAATGTTTATGGTTGGTTGTTACTCATTAAATATTTTAAAATCCTTTTCTTGTTGCAAAAACAAAAAAAATATTGTTTTATTTTAAGCTACTTTTTAAAAAAATAATTCTTTTTTAAATACATATAATTCAAATAAATTGCATTTTGGTTCCTTTTCTTCATTTTTTCTTTATTAATAGGAAATTATGTATGAAATGAAAAATAGATAATTCTATTTTATCTAAAATAACTAAGAAGAATAATAATCTCGGATGGTTTTTTTGAAAATATCAGCCCTATCCGATTAATTAAATAATAAACAATATATTATTTTTTTAAAAATTGTAATTAATTTATGAGACAATTAAATATTTTTTTATATTTCTAAATTTTAAATAATAAACAATATATTATTTTTTTAAAAATTGTAATTAATTTATGAGACAATTAAATATTTTTTTATATTTCTAAATTTTATATTAAGTGAATAAACAAACTGTAATGTAAGATACAAGATAAAATGTCAAATATGGATTAATAATTTAATATTTTTGAAAATCAGACATAATCATCACATAAATTGAAAATAGAAAATATAAAGGAATAGTATTATAATATTTAAAATTGCTTGTGATTCATAATAAATTTTTTAAAATATATTTAATTTCAAAAATCAAATACAAATATTAATATTAAAAATAATCATCTTGTGGGTTGAGACTATCCATGAAGCTAATGTAATTAACCTCGTGAATAGCAATGGCTAGTCCTTCCAAGAAGCCCCACGAGGTTAACCAAGCTTACAAATATGAGAACCAATTTGCATAAAAAGGTGAAAGCGAGTTTCTAAAAGGTTATTAATGCAGTAGAAATTATCGGAATCAATATGCGATCTTGTGAAATTTCAGAAATTAAATAAACAATTTAAATATTTTTTTTATTATGTGTAAATTAAATACTTTTTTATTTCTAAGTTTTTCATTGAAAAATGGAGAATTGACTATTATTTAAGATTAAAAGTGTCGATTTGTTCGATACATAAAATGTGACAGACCGACAACTATGATACATTGAAACAAAAGTATCGTCGATTTTATTGGTTGCACATAAAAATATGGACTCTAGTTTTTAATTTGGTTTTGGAATAAAATACCTTTACCTTTAAGTTTACACCCATAAAATTGAGGTCTGGAAAATTTGAACAGTACCATAAAAATAGACTATATGTGTACTTAAATAATATTGATTTTATATTTTTTGAAATCAAGACGGAGGATAAAACAAGAAAAACTCATATTGGAATGGAAACATATTCAATATTCATGCATTTTATGCTTGTCTAAAATATTGAATGAATTAAATTTTGGATTAAATAATAATGTTAAATTATTTTAGTATATAACGAAATTCCAGTAATAAGACATAACAAGAGACAATCAAAACAATTATAGATCTTATTATTAGATTAAAAATAAAGCAAATACATTCTAATTCAATGAAGAGTACAATAATACGTTACGTGATAGTCTTGTTTTAAGCATCAATGGTGAAAGAATTTATTAAAATTAATCAATATAACTAACTGGAAACGGGTTAAGGTAACAGAAATCGCAAAAATGGAGACAACGGAATTTATGGCATAGACAAATTATTATCAAAGACGGGGGTTCATCACAAAAAGTTATTTGGATAAATTATTTTTTTTATATATGATAGTACGACTTCACCTCCACATTGTGGCGCATCTATTGCTAGTATCCATGGTAGTTGGGGATCATAATGCATAAGCACCGGAGCTTTGTTGATGTTATTTTTAATATTGGAATGGCTTCATTTTGAGCTGGGCTCTATTGCCAAGGTTGGATTTTTCTTATGTGTACAAATGTGCAGCTTTTAATAAATAATTTTTACGTAACTTTGTGGACCACATATCCTCTAAAATTGTTAATGCACATTGGACAAGTTATTTTTGAGTAAATCTCCAGTTACCTTCGTTATTATTTTACCATATAGGTATACTGCTGCTCCGTGTAATGGAGTTGGGGCGACCTCAAATCATGATCTCGTATAGCGGCAAGGTTCTATCGGTGTATTTATTGATAACCAATATTTTCATAGCATCTTTGTCTAACACTATTTGAAATGAGCGTCTGATAAATTTAATACGGAGTATGTTTATCATTCCCAATGTAGCTAGTGATTCAATTGTATGAAGTGAGGAACAGTGTTCTATCAATATATTCAGGTTTTTTTGGTTTAAAAGCACTTAAGGTACTATATCTTCATATTTTTAAAATTGGTATAATAGGTAATGCTATTGAAGAGTGTTACATTTTTTCTAAAACGCTTAGGGGTTTTAGCCTTTGTATTTGTTTATTTTTGTTTCCCAAGCATGGTATTAGACGACTCTTGTAAAAATGTAAATTTGGTTTGCCTTTGACAAATAGTGACGCTTTAAATTTTTTTAAATGACCTAATTATTGAATAATAGGGGAAATTTTTGAGTAATTTTACTTGATTTATTTCCACACATTGTTTTATGTATTGCCATTAAAGGCACTGATTTGTACTATTATTTAATTATACTATTAATTTTATAAATTTTTAATTGATTATAAGGGGTTACCGTCTTTGTCCTCCTGATTCTCAATCGTTTTTGAGTTGCTGGGCGGCACATTTTTCCCAATTTTCCTCTAATCTTGCAATTTAAGCAACTTACCTTAAGCTGAGGGCATCTCGGTTTGATATGGCCCTCCTTTCCACAACAGTATCATTGAATTTTGTTCCTTGAGTAATTATAATTATAATTATTGTTGTTTTGCTTTGATTTATAATAATTATTATTCGATTTTTTTAATCCGATTTCCGTGTTTGATAATAATTTTTTCTAGTCATAACTCCGTTACTTCATTTTGATTCCAATTTCCGTTGCTTTTCCCATGTCAAATTGGTTGTATTAGTTAATTTTCTTTCGCCATAAATGTCTGCAAAAATCTAATGATAAAATCTAACATTGCATTTTTTATCTCTTGTTATGTTTTATTGAAATAATATCATTCCAGAATGAAATTTTTTTGTAAACTAAAGTAATTTTTTAATATTGTTATTAAATCATCATAATTGTATTCATTCAATGTTTCGGGCAATTGTATATAATATTGAATATGTTCCTATCCGATATTAGTCAAGAAAAAGGGTTTTTATCTTTTATAAAATTATTAGTTGGCAAATCTGATAATGCAGCCTCTTTGGGGTCTTGTCTTATCCTGGTCACGGCACCACTAAAAAAAAACCAAACAGAAATACCAAAAACAAAACTACTGTCACAAAAAAAAAGAAACTATACGAAACCCTGAAAGTCACAAAGCAGACAAGAAATATAACTCGCAAAGAATGATTTTCTTTATTAATAATTTCCGAAATAAAAAAACAATTCAATCAAAATAAAATAAATCCATAATTTTTATATATAAAAAAAATTAATGAATCCAAAAAAAAAATAACATCTACATATATTATTACATCTAATTTTATATCCAATCCTTATTCTAATCGGTTGATTGGCATTTCGCGTAAATATAAAATGTAAACGTATTTACAAATACGACATGCCACCCCTTTATGGGATCGTGGCATATCGGCATATATATATGTTTGTTAAAAAAATGATCGATATATAACGGTGTTGCCTGATCAATTAAATTGCTATAACAGATTAATAAAATTTTATAAAGTACTTCAATTTTATTTACTTAATTCCATAATATCATGATTACCTTGAATATTTCAAAAAAATAGCTAATTTCAATGTGAATGATCCATGGTGATAGTAGATATAACTATGAGAAACACCAAACCCGAAAGGCACCATAGATATTTCCTGAAGCATCCAATTTCAGCATCGTCATTAATATTATTCTAAATTAACATTAAGTGTTTTTTTTCCGGTGATAATAAAATCTTTGTCAAATCATCTGCTTCGTTTTCCACTTCGATTTTTTCCTTTTGCGATATCCATTCATAATAAAGAATGTTCATTGACTAATCGTTGATGGTACTGTGATATTCCTTCGTGTACTTTTGGAATAATGATTGACGTTATTATTATGAAGCGAAAATGTTTCAAAAGGCCTGCTCAAAGCGGCGACGCAGAGAAATGTAGCCCTACTGAATAACATGGCCATGGCATAAAGATCTCTATTTGCCTACATTGCCATCATACATCGTAATCGCCATAAATATAAGGCCAAACTTAATAAACTTAGGAATCTAAATTATCTTAACAGATTAACACTAAATTCTTGGTATACGAATAAAATGTAAATTTAATTTAGATATTTTTTAGGCTATGACTTATTATAAAATGTCCTCATCATAAAATCTTACAACAGACTCTTTTAGATCGTGGTTGCGTTTACCAGGAACGTCATGGATGGGAGAGACCCGGTTGGTTTGACCCCACTCATACAGCTCGACCAGTTTTGCCTTACGATTATTATGGGGCCTACGATTCTCTCGGGACTGTGCGTACACCTAATTTTTACGCCGAAGCGCTCAAAAACGATTATACATTCGGTTGATTTATTCTTTTATTCATTATATTCAGGGTTAGGCAAATTTAAAAAAAATATATTCTAGTATAAATACAAATTCACTTCAAAAAAAGGTATTTGAATATAAATTAAAACAATTTTAAATATAAATACTAAATATGTACAAAAAATTTTCAAATTTAAATACAAATATCTTTTGCACAAATAAATACCTAATGACGAATACTTTTTGCAAGTCGATTTTTTCGCGAGGCATAAATCTTTTACCATGTAATATTAATCCAGAGATGGAAAAATCATTTAGCTTGGTGTACTAGTTGCAGGTATACAAAGTACTTTCCTAGCTAAATTAGCAAGTCTAGAAAGTTGCAGTCTCTTTTTCCAAAAGGTTATTGCATCCTGTTTTGATATAGTATGTTTGCCGAGGAAAATATGGCATTTTTGCTCTAGATCGCTAGTGTTATTTTAGTCGTTGCTTTGGAATTTGTTTGCTATTAGCTATATAGGAATCGGATAATTGCCCATTATCTTCAACTTGTTCTCTGAATTTCTATGGTGCTTCTTTATAAGTTTTAGTCTAATTAAAAATTTCGATGATGTAAAATTCAAATCTAAATATTCTGAAACAATTATTTTGAAATTTCGGGATCAAATAGTTTCGCTAATATCTGAATTTTAAATAAATGTTTATTAATGAAAATATTAAATAAAAAATTATTCTATAAAATAAATTATTTGCAGTTCGGTAATTGAAAATCTATGTTCAGACTTTTTTTCTTTTTTTTTTAGATAAATGATATATGAGCTATCAGATTTATTGATTTACATGATCATTTCTATTTCACTACCAAATAATAAACCTAAATTAATTGTTGATCTCATTTAGGAGGGAAGAAATTCTTCTGATTGAATTTAGTAAATGCGAATTATTTGTCAATTAGATCCCATTCCTTATTGAAAAGTTTTAAAAATAATTTCCCTATTTTATTTAGCATATTATTTATAGGGCTCTTGTTTTAGATTTTTCTGACAGACCATTTTTTAAATTTTCTGGTTGTTATATTTTTAAGGATTTCCTGATGATATTTTCCTGGGTTTTTTTTTCTGTCGGGGATTGTGTTTTCCTGTTATTTTTTTCCAGGGGCTTTCTTGGTTATTTTTAGCGGTGTTTTGTTTTTCATTTACCATTTTCTTTCTATAAGGATTGTATTAATAATAAAAAAGCAAAAATCTCAGCGTTTGTTTTCCCAAAAAAACGGTTTCTTCATCCCTGTTTGGGTAATTTAATAAAAATGTCTATTTATACGGGTCCTTTGGCTATCTGAACCTTACACGACCGAACACCATTTAAAAAATTCTGAACTTGAACTCATATCTAAACCGGAAAATTCTATAAGACCAGAGGTAGTGATTTATTTGTTGTGTGATAACTTAGAAAAAAAATTCTGTTAAATATGAAATGTAGAATTGTGGCGTAAAGAGTTATACCTTTTCAACATGTACCTTTTTTAGGAATTCAAAGTGAACTTAACCTCCAAACCGGAGAAACTTTTATAATTTTCGGATAAATTTAATGCCAAATTATTAAAGTGAACCCAATCTTTATAAATTTCTTAAACCGGTTTAAAAAAGTTTTAAAACATCATGAATTAAGAAATTGAGATACTCTACTCTTCCCCGAGGAGTTCTTAAGGGCTTTATTATTTCGTTTTTTAAACCAATCAATCACATATTCATTAATAACTTTTTTATAGTTAATTATTCAAAAACCCAAATGAACTTTAAAACTTTTTAAAAGTAACCGAACCATAACATTTAGCCCTCTAGGCGTAATCTTTATAGATAATGACTTGGATCTCTGCTTTCTTTATATTAACTTTTCTTCCTCACTTTATTACAAAGACTTTCCGCTTCATCACAATTCGATCCTGAGAGCTGAGTGCGAGGCATGCCGCTATCGTGCCGCCATCTTCGACATGTCTTACTTTGGCAAATTTTATCTGATACCATCGTCTGATTTTTCTCTATCTTCTCCTCACGATGCAAAGTCAGAGTCACATGACGCCGTGTATCGGCTTGCCGATTGGCTCTTTTGTTCTCGCCTTCCTGATTTTTCCGGCAGCAAGAACACTTGTTACACGTGCGCACTCGACGCTAGTGGGGGGATACAAGCCGACATAACGGTTTCTGATCTATCATCCACCTCGTTAGCTCCTTTCGAACCGCTTGGTAATTCATATTATTTATTTAGTCTACATCAGCTATATATCAGCCCCTCAATAACGCGATCTTTTTGTTGGTCTGTAAACCATCTAATTGTTAATAAAACTTAGTGCTGCTAAATTACCTAACCTTGCCCAACTCCATTCGGTTTAGTTAAGTCTTTAGCTTAACGAATTGACTTAGAACCTGTAATTTAAGTCAACGAAAGTTTGAAACTTATTTAATAAAAACGTTTCAAACAATTTTGGAGTTAGCCAAAGTTAGGTGATTTAACAACACTAATAAAGCAGCTATTATGAGCTTAATGTGACAAAAAATGAATTAATTGTTTTTTGAATCAATTAGTAACAAAATTTTGATAAAGTTAAATGTGCAAAGCTGGAGTTTTTTCCTTTCAACTTAAAATTACAACTACGTTTGGATGGTTGAAAATAATCTAAACTTCATTCTGATGGATTTGAAAAATATTTTCAAGCCTGGCTAGAATCTTCTATTTTCTCGGCCTGAATTGTTTATTTTTGGCCATTATTTTTCTTTATTTTGAATAATTTTGGCTGTATTTTGTAAATTGTTATAAAGAGAAATTGAAAATATGGGCAGTAAATGAATATTAGAGGCCTCGTTATTATGATTTTACAACCGATTAGTTGATACAGTTTAAAATTATTTTTAAAAGTTGGCCCAGCTCAGGTATAGTTTATAATAAAATTTTACGATACTTTGGTAATGACCTGCAGTTCTTTGATTTTTTAAAAAAATAACCACATTGCTATGTTTATGTTATCACTGACCTGTATATTATTTACAAGTATAATATCTTTTTAAACTAAATCATATTATATTTTATAATTTATTATCTATTTTTATTATGACAAATGTAATTTCATACTGATGCTTCTTTATGCCTTATAATTTGAATGTAAAAGTAAAATATAACGAAATAAAAAGTACAATTTTTATAAAAAGGTCATTCGATATTCTAATATTTGCTGTTATATAAATTGAGAATTGGTGTGGTTGGAAAATAATATATTTAACACATTCTATATCTGGTATAAAGTCAGATTTTAAATATATAACTATAACTTAATTAAATCATGTTTCAAAATAATATCACTTTCCATAAATAATACATAAATGTCTTTTATATATCTTTTTTTGTCAACAATTTAAATATGTTTAAATAAATCAATACATTTTAAGTTACGCAATAATAAAATTAAATAAAATGTAATTTAAACGATGATATAAACTGAATTTAAGTTAAGCAATAACTAAATATATATATAAATTGTGTCTATGATATTTTTGTTGTGCGATTTAGACGCCATAAATACAAAATACAATAAATATCTTATCGCATTTAGTTACCTATCGCGCGATTTGAGTCGCCAAAGATAGTCGCCGCGATTTTTTAAAAACACAAATCATTTTGTATTTGTCGCGTGATTTTGAAATATTGATTTTTACCGCCTTTGGTGAATATGGCATAAAATATTTTCATTTTTTAAAATAGGATCTTAAATTACTCAATTTTTGAAATTTTTTGTAGATATCAAAACTATGAATCAAGATAAAATTATCATTTAAATTACAAAAGTCCTCATTAGATAAGGAAGGAGAATTTATACCACCAAATTTAACAGAGGTGTCAATGAAATAACAGGGGAGATAAATGAATGTAAAATATAGCATGAACTGGTAATACATTTATTTAAGCTGATCCATTGATATTATTATTTAGTCTCATTGATAGTGACAATACATTGAATGATATAATTATTCCCAAAAGTCCTGCATTAATTAAGCAGGGTACTCTGACTGGTAATTTATAATATCTAATAATATATTATTTATATGAAGGATCTATATCTTCTTTTGAATCTCGTAGTTCATATTAATGTCCTAAGAGAAAGTTTAATGACGTTGGTAATTTATGTTTATTATTTGCTTTATAAAGATATTTAAAATAGATGAATTTAAAACAATTATAAAATTAGAAGAGGTAAGAATACTAGATGCTTAAAAATAAAAAACTGAATATGGCATATGTCTTATATTGAGGGAAATATTGGATAAATGTACAGAAAAATATAATTAAATATATGATGTTCTACACAATTTTAATTTATGTGATAATTAAATAAAATCATTTTATATATATTTATATTATTTGAAATAGATATTTTATATATATTTATATTATTTGAAATAGATATTTTATATATATTTATATTATTTGAAATAAAATATATTTTTATAAATATTGATACTTTATTTGCTTTTTTTAAAATAAAATTATATACTATATAGCTTTTTTAGTGACATATTCCTACATATATATTTTATGAGTTTAGACTATATTAATAGTAAAAAATAAGATATTTATGTAAAATACAAAATTAGATATTTATATTTATATAAAATTTAAAATAAGATATTTATATAAAATATAAAATACAATAATAAAATATTTATATATAATAAAAAATAAGATATAATCTAATTTATAAAATATATATTTATAAATATAATATTTTTTTTATAATATAGGATTTTTTAAATATAAGCATAATAAATATATAATAAATTTTGCAATAATTGTTTTCCATCAATACTACCAACACAGTTAGGTAAATTCCACTTTATTTCAAACTCCTTTTAAATAATAATATACATAAATATAATATACACTATATTACACCTTTACTAATCTCACAAAGTTAGTGAGAGTAAGTGGTGGCATATGAATACTAATTAAGGTTTGCCATATGACTAGGCATGTTTTAATAATTTTTAAGATGGTTGGAACCCCCATTTTGAAGCAATAGTCTAAAGTAGGATACCTACAATCAGTGGCTAAATACTTAGATAAAAAATTTATTTAAATAATAAAGTATTTTATTATTATCTAAGAGAAACCATGAGGTTTTCTTCAATGGTTATATATTTTATAAAATTTGTGGTTGTTGTGTATAAAATGATTTTACATGTTTTAGAAGTAATTATAAGTTTCCTATATAGTATAGAATTAAAGATAAAATAGAATTAATAAAAACTTTGGTCATTCTCATATAATTAAAAAATTTCGCCCCTTTTCATGATGATTTTGTATAAAATTTATAAATTAAAATAGAATTCAGGGTAAAATTTTAAAACTAAATTAAATATCATTAAAATAAACTAAAACTTAAGATGAATATATTTAACAGTTGCTATAATTGTTATTATAATTTAATCAATATTATCAGTGGCGTAGCTAGGAATTTTCCTTAGAGGGGTCCATACATATAAAAGCCTGGGGGGCGTCGCCCCCCAGACCCCCTTTAACGGGTCTTCGGCCCTTTTGCCCGGCCTTCGGCCGGGTTTATCTTAGAAATCATAACCATATCTTCGATAATATATAATAAATATATTTTTAAATGCATCAATAATTTGTTTTATAATTTAGTAGATTATTCTCAATGACTTTATAATAATACTATCCAGAATAATTTCAATAGTAATATAATATCCTTCCACAAACATCAAAACCAGAAAAAATATAAATATTATTGATATTTATTTGATATAAAGTCACCACTTATAAGTCTTTTGAACGTATAATCTAAAAATAAATTTTTGCTCTGGGAGGGGTCCAAACCCGAAAACCACCTCCGTAGCTACGCCACTGAATATTATAATCTATTATATTTTAATTTTAATAAATTTAATAATTTATTTAAATTAATATTATAATTTATTTAAATTAATTTTTAAATTGATATTTAAAATATTACTATTTGTTTTTCTACATATCTAACATTCCTCTCTTTGAAAAAATTGTACATTCAAAAAAAGAGGGGAAAGTTCTGACCCTATAACTCAAAAGACAGTAACAAATAATATTCAAATATTAAATATATAACTAAAAAGAACAAAATCGAAACCAACATATTTAAAAGATTATAAATTATCAAAATTACAAAAGAAGAAAATAAAATAAATCAAATGATAATTCAAGCTTGAAGATATAACATGGAATTCTTCAGAGAGAGAAATGTTATGTGGAAAAAGAAGTGATAATATTTGAAATATAAATTAAATATTTAAAATAAATTTAAATATTAATTATAATAAATTATAATAATTGAAGTTTTCTAAGTTAGTATGCAATTGTCCATAATGTTTACTGGTAATAGGTATAACAAATTTAAGAGATTTTATTTATCAATTCAAATTACAATCATATAAAAATTATTTTTTATTAATAATGTAATATATTTTCATGCTTATATAGCTTGTAAAAATCAATTTAATAATTTACATAAACGAAAAATCAATTTAATAATTTATATAAACGAAAAATCAGTTTTAGTATTAAGTTAATAACGAAAAAGAAATATATAAAAAAATTAATCAGGTCATCTCAAGCTCAACAATAATTATTATATTAACAATTGTATAATATTATAATATCGATTGACCTTTGTATACAATATATAATAACTTGTATTTTAAAGGCTGTTATTTTGGTATATGTAAATTGTGAAAATGAAAGCATCAGTATGTAATTATATTTGTCATAATAAAAATATAATTAAAAATTATAGAAATAATAAAATATAATATGATTCAGTGTTTAATAAAAGATATTATACTTATAATTAATATACTAATAATCTGCCATTAGCAATATGAGGAATCTGTTGTATTTGAATGATAAAGTTAAATAATTATTAATATTCTTGTTATTAAATATATATATTATTTAAAATTTGAATTGTAAACTCGCGTTATCATTTGATTATACCTTTTTTTAATCAATTTTGTGGAAAATAAACTTTATGCTTTTTGGCTATAAAAGAATCTAAGATTTACGAGAATTCTAAATACGTGTTTTTAAATCCAAATCAATTTCAGTCAAATTAATTACTAATTCTTTATAGATCGTAATATAATAGAATCGGTATCGTATATCAACGGAAATTTGGTAATAAAACACCTGAAAGAAAGAAAATAATATAAACTAACGTGTTTGACAAATTAAATAAATGTAAAAATTATATAGGCGCACGTTATTATGTAGCGGTAGGGGGAGCGGTTGCGCAATACTTTCGGTCCCACTTGACACGTGTTATCGAGGACTTAGCCGATCGTAAAGTGACAATTGTTGATAAAACGGATGAAATGGGCTTGATCAGTTTGCAAGGGCCTAGAAGGTAATATTAAATCATTTACTACTATTAAATGCTTTGTTAATTGATTTTTTTTAAAGAATCGAATCATGATCACAGCCTTTTCAAAAAAAATGGATCATGATCAGGGTTGACAGGTCAAAATTTTCAAATTGCGGGAGAAATTTGGTTATTATTTTTCGGAGGATATGAAAATTTTGGGAGAAAAATTGGCCCGCAAACTTACGGCCTTCGGCCGGGTTTGTGAAATGACTTAATTACCCCCCCCCCCCTTCCATTACATCTTATAATTACTTTATATAGATATTAACAAAGTCAATGTTTCAATGTTTTGTAATAATTTTTAAAATAGGTAATAGAAAATACATGCTCGCATATTTTTTATAAGCGTGGGGATTTATCGTTATTACCAAAAAATTATACCTATTTCTCCAATGCTTTTAGGCCACTTATTTTGGAGTATTCTTTGGAATCATAAATAACAATCTTCTCAGACAAGATATCAATATCTACCGATATTTTTAATATATTTATCAAATTCCAAAATCCATCAATTGGCTCCAAGTTCATATTATTTATAATTTGTAAACAGAATTACCAAAATCAAATTTGATTGCTAATACTCTAAAATTGTTTTGTTAAAAATTTGAAAATGACATTTTTAACAAGAGCCATAATATTTATTATCAATTTTTAGCAGTAAAGGTTAACATATCAGTAACATGATTCCGTGAATTTCTATTAACAAAGATTCTTCTGATTGCAATTGCTTATTGACAGCATGTAGATTTTCTACATGTGAAGTCATGCTTAAATATGCTTACGCCAATTCATTTTTGAAAAATTTTTCAAAATATTTGGACAGTTTGAATAATTTCCTTTTAAAAAATATCTTTTTTGATTAAAAAATCAATGACGGGTATTAGTGATGATCATCTGACAGGGATCGTACTTACTTACATCATTCCATATTATACGGGGTGCTTGTGCTTGACATTTGTTGATATAGGAATTTATTGATTGTTTCTTTAATTCGAAAATATTGAGAAGTTATGCAATGCTGTAAATAACTGGTTATAATGATAATGAAGCCCTTGCTCAAAGTAAACCATAATAAATAAAATAATTTTCTTATAGAAATAGGTCCAATATAATTTATAACTATGTTATGTATTCAAATGAATATAATGATAATTTAATTAAGAGAAGGAGATTCAACCTCAAGGAAATATAGTCCAGTTCAGATAAAATGTTAAAATTATTATTTATAAATTAAAAACGTTAAAACGCTAAAGAATTTAATAGGAAGAAATTTTAAAATTGTGAAAATTTGTTGCCGGAGAATTCAAATTGCGTGAGTCTTGCTGGTGGTGGTTTGTGTGTAAACTAATAGCGGGGGTCTCCTGCTAATGGGTAGGGGGCCTTGAAACCCTGATCGTGATCTAGGATTGCCCAATGTTCAATAAAATGAAAAAGAATAATTAAAATACTAAATAGTACTAAACTAATTCGTTTCCAAACATATCGTAAAATATAAAAAGTGTATAATATGAAACTTAGAAGATAAATATAAATTTTAAAAAATCTAATGAAAAAAATAACAACACGAAAAATTCTTTTCAACACTTAAATTTATAAGCATAAAATATGGAGAAAATATGTTTGCTTAAATTAAAAGTTTACATATAATGCCATCAGGAAAGTATGGGGGTTTTGAAAAAATTGAGAAATCATATTGTATACTTAAACTTAAAGGCGTATTTTTAATATTTCAGTAGATTTTTATAGAAAAATTTTATTTTCTCAAATATGAAAATTTAAATATATCATTTTCCCCTCTCCCGTGTGGATTTGCCAGTTATTAGTTACTATCTAGACTAAATTCCGCAGGTAATGATGTAATATTATTATATGAATGTTAAACAAAACATTTAAAATATAATAATTTCTCACATATTTACGGTATAAAAAAAGCCGAGACATTTTGCAACCTTTAGTCAACGTTGACCTAAAAAACGAAACCTTCCCTTTCTCTTCACATAAAATAGCCTTGATCTCTAATCGTTACCCGGTCCGCTTGGTAAGAATTTCTTTCGTGGGCGAACTGGGCTGGGAGATCCATCTGGCAAACGAAGTACTTTTTTCTTTTTTACCTTTATTTATACATGTTTTGTAAAACTATTAAATAAGTTTCGTTTTAAATTTTAAAATGAATATTTTCTATTAAATTTCAATTCTTATATACAAAAAATAAAATCTTATATTCATATAAATTTTTACATATATGGTGAATTCCATATCAAATCGGCCAAGGATTTAACCCGACCCCCTCATTATTTTTTAAGTTGTGTATATTGGTAGTTGTTATAAACTTCAATTAACTTCTTTGGTTGTCTTCAATACATAAAAATTAAATAAAGTTTTTTCTTTTGCCTTTCTTTTGTCTTGTTTCAATCCATAAAAATTAAATAAAGTTTTTTCTTTTGCCCTTCTTTTGTCTTGTATTCAATACATGAAAATTAAATAAAGTTTTTTCTTTTGCCCTTCTTTTGTCTTGTCGTAAATACATAAAAATTAAATATAAAGTTTATCTTTTGGTCTTCTTTTGTCTTATCGTAAATACATAAAAATTAAATAAAGTTTTCTTTTGTTTTGATTTAAATACTTTTAAGGTCAACATATGGTTTTTGTGTTTTCTTTTTACTTAGGGGTTTTGCTTACTTTTGGAGTCTTTAATAGGGTGTTCAGCAAATATAAGTTAGATATTTAGGTCCGGGAGATCGCCCTGCATCCATTGGTATAATTAGAGTAGTAGGGTTTATCCCTAATTATGTAAGATAAAACTAACACAATACGTTTTGCAAAAACGTTCTTTTTTTTACTTTGCGCCAATTTTATTTTCCCTATAAAAGGGACAAATTTTTATACTTAGATATATACTTTATTTTTTGGTTTACATATTTACTTAAAATTATAATTATTTTTTGTACTTTTTAATTTATTGGTTTTAATTGATGATTCTTAAATTTTTTATAATTAATTATTTTCTTTTTTCAAATAAAATTTAAAATATAAGTGTTGTAGTTGCTTTTATTAATCTAAAATGACGCATACCAAATCTCATCGAGACGTGCCACCTACCATTCTACCCTTAACTGAAGCCCCGACACTTCAGTAGTATATACTCTAAGAAAAAAAATATAGTTTACTTCCCAACACTCCTTATCTGCTAAGATATGGGCATTTAAAGAGCGGAAAAATGGTACATTCTTGGAAAAATGCACCTCATTTATTTTCAAATATCTCGAGAAATAATTATATTAGAGCAATAATTAAAATTTTATTATATAGCTTAACAATAATTCTTTAATATGACATATAAATAAATATGATAGAAATCTGATTAATATCTAAAACCAGATTAAAGCTGAAATAGCTATAGAAAAAAATGTATTTTTTTCAAATTTTTTTCCTATAGATAAATAATACAAAATGCTAGACTGGGCTCAACATGGATCTAGGAGTTATCACCCTTTATATGGCTAAAATTGATCAAATTTAACATAAATATCATATTTAAATTTAATGAATAGTTATGTAATAATGTTTATTTAAAAATTATGTCTAACTTTTTTTAATATAAAACAAAATATTTGAGAGGTTACCCAATTCATAACACTTTGGTTAAATTTTCACTCGAAATTACTTTGCAAAATAATTCTAAACATATTTATAACTTTATTTAGCTCATGCTATAATTAAATAATACTATCAAAAATTTATAATATTATTTAAAATATATCAAATATTAAACCCTAAGAATACGAATAAATTTTGACTTTCATTTTATTTTTCCCTAAGGGAATAAAAGTATGGAACTTTTGTGTTCTAGAAATTCGCTTTGCTCTCGAAAACCTGCTATCAAGGTGATTTTCCATACTAAATATTCATTATTGCTCGCAAATATAATTTACCACATGGTTATTATTTCTTGCATATTTAAATAAATCCATTTTCAATATGTCATACGGGCGCTGCAAGCTTGTTCCAGCTACTAACCGTTTAGTAACGCCCCCTAAACTGTCAGAAGGACTTTTTTTATGGTCATTTGCAAAAAAATGCCACCAAAATTATTTTCATAATTGTAGAGATTACTGAAATTTTTATATTTTTATATTAGGTTACTGCCGCATCAGAAAAATAATAAATCTTAGCAACTCTGCCAAATCATCTTTCAAGAATAGGATCAATTTTGTTTGAAATAATTTGTTGTATCCAAAGTCATTATATAAAATGAAATAATAAACTAGAAATTTTTGATATGTCTACGAAAACTACAATATTTAGGTGAATTTATCGATTAAAAATGATGACATTTGTTGAAATTTTAATTTTGGTAGATCATTTTATTTTATTTTAAAATAAAATATTTACTATTATTTTGTCAAGTAATTTCAAGAGAAAATTTAACCAATAAAGCACATTATCCCACCAACCTCTCAAATATTTTGTTAAAGATAAAATTTAGACTTGATGATATTTATGTTAAATTTGATCAATTTTAATCATATAATGAGTTATAACTCCTATACCCATGTTCATCCCAGTCTAGGATTTTATACAAATATAAAGCAGTGTGATGTCTTTCTATAGAAAAAAATTAAAGAATTCCCTTTTTTCTATATCTATTTCCGGTTTTATAATCTGGTTCTAGATATTAATCAGATTTCTATCATATGTCATATTAAAGTACTATTATTAAGCAATATAATAAAATCTAAATTATTGCTCTAATTTAATTATTTCTCGAGATATTTGAAAATAAATGAGGTGTTGTCAAAAATATACAATTTTTCCGCCTTTTATACGCCCTTAAACAGTGTTGGGAGGTAAGATTTCATTTTTTTTTAGTTATAGTATATACTACCAATATTCAAAATTTGCAAAAATTCTGAGGGGGTAGGTTTGAGAATTGACTTTTTTTGCTGATTTGATATGAAATTCACAATATTCATATGTTAGTGTCAATGTGTTATTTTTCAACTTTAAATCATTTTTTGAGCGCCTTTTTTTTGAATTTAGAAATCGGATTTTATTGGAAATATATTCCATCATGTTTGGAATACCTACCCTATGGTTTTCAGATAATTTTGTCATGAACTTTTGAATTTAATATAATCTATATTAGATTTTCTATTGATTTTTCATATAAATTATACCTGACTCAAAAGTTATCGATAAAATTATCTACATTTCATAAGATAGTTATTCTAAACATGTTGGAATACATTTCCGGTAAAATCAAAAATTTAAATTTAAAAAAAGGCGCTCAAAAAAGATTTAAAGTTGAAAAAAATAACACATTGCCGGAAAAAACACATTGACGCTAACATATATAAAAATAAGAAAATGTATAGCGTAACAAAATAAAATGTTTTTTATTTAGATAATAGAATGTTAATAGCGAGGTAAAAATAAACTTAAATAGACGAACGTTGAATTTACAAAAATAAAATAACTCAACATCCCCTCTCTTCTTTGCAATTGTTCCTCGCTTTCGTTTATTTTGAAATTTATATCGTCTTCTTTTTAGTTAGTTGTCCTAATCGTTTTTACGTTGGTTTATTATCTTTATCTTATTTTGTTTTGTAGTTTTACGTTTTCAAATTGTTATCATTAATTGTCAATTCCTGTTGTTATTATTATCATTATAATTTTACGTTAGCATTATTATTTATTATATGTTATCATCATTATTGATTTAACATGAATAGAATAATTTTAAATATGAATTGAAATAATTGATATTTAGAATATGAAATTGAATTGGAATAATAATATTATAGATTATTCGAATATTGAATAAATTGTTCATAAGAATAAGAATATGTGATGATAAATTAATTTAGCATTTTATATTTTCTTAATTTCTGTTTTATGTTATATAATCTTTTAAGTAGATTGGTTTTTGTTTTATTCGGAACAGTCTAGAAAATGGTGTTATTATATTTTTATCTGTAACATTTTTATGTGTGTCATCTCTTCCCTCCTTAAAATAAATCTTAGTTGTAGTGTTATCATTATTTAGAATAATATTTCTCATGCTCTTATTTTCATGGTATTCTTTTTCCATTTAATCTAAATGTTTTCTTATTATACCTTTATCTGTTTTTATTTGAAATAACATATCACTTATTTAATAACTCCTTTATCCCATTTATCTTGTATTTTATACCAAACCAAATCTCTTATATTCATAGTTCTACTTTGTATTAAAGTTATGTTATTTTTATTTTCCTTTTTATCTATAGATTTTAATGAATACCATCGAGTTCTTATATTGTAATTAAACATTCTTTTACATGATGATTCTATTGTGGCATTAGGTCTATTTCTATAATTAAAGAAGAATTTTTCAAGTGCCATATTTAAATCTATATTTTTATTTTCCATGTTTCTTTTCATATGCATTTTAAACGTTCTAACCATACGATCTGCCTGACAATTCGACTGTTGATGGTATAGAGATATCAGTAAATGTATGTCAGGGTCTTTACAAAATTTATCAAACAGATGACTTATAAAAATTACATTATCGGTAACTATAACTTCAGATTAAGGTCATTTGAGAGCAAGAAAAATTAAATCTTTAACCAAAAAATACATGTGGTGATCATGTATAAACAATTATATAGACATCGAAGTTAAAAATTGTGAAGAGTGCAATACATATTTTGATAATCCTAAAAACATACAAAAACCCTGGGCTAGCACAACAAAGCCATTTGAAAGGATTCATAAAGATTGGTCAGTTTTTTTATGAAACACTGATTAATAATAGTAGTTGCTTATAACAGATTTCCAATTATAACTCCAGTTAAAACTATTACAACAGAAATTACATTAAAAGATATTTTGAAAACAATTTCACTATTTGAATACTTGGAATTATAGTTATAGATAATGGAACTAATTTTATAAGTCATCTGTTTGAGAAATTTTGCACATACCCTGGGATAAAACATTTACTGACATTTTAATACCATTAGTAGTCGAATGCTCAGGCAGAACGTATGGGTAGAGTAGAACGTTTAAAATGCATAGGAAACATGAAAAATAAAAAAAAATAACATA